TTCGCTCACTTAATATGCCGCTTTTCTTTTCAATTCCACAACCATCAAGTCTGTATTCATCGCCAACCCTCCGAAAATTCCACACCCCGCTCCAGGAATTATTGGTTTTTGTTTTCCCTCCCGTCCTTTCAGCCCTAGAAGGCCCGCGGAAAGTTTCACGGGGCCTTGGCTTCGAAGGGGCCAGTGTGTGTGTGTGGGCCCACTGGGGCCCGGCGTGGGGCCCATCGATCCGTAGGTAGAGCCCTTCCTCACCCAGGGCAGAAGGGACCCAGGGCTGAATCCCCGCCTCTATACCACATACACACACAAGCATAGACATACACACGCGTATGCATCGGCTTCTTCTTCTTCTCCGGCTTTTGCTGGCTCACCTCTATCTGAGGGCCAACTCAATCTTATCCTGGGTCTTTTCTGGGCCCTCTGTGACTCAGGCTCCACTGATCTATGTTTCTTTAGTAAAAAAATATTTTTATCGTTCTCTATCTCTCTCTCTTTCTCTCCCTTTCACTCTCTCTAACTCCGTCTCGTTCTCTATCTATCGCTTCAAAACTTCAAAACTACATTCTCAAACTCGCCCTCCCCAAAAAAAATTTTCCGGGTGAAACGAAAAGCCTGCCGGTTGCTCGGGTAGACTTGAAAAAATGGGCACGCCATTCGCTGGCCCTGAGCTCCTCTTCGGAATACATAACATGGGAAGCGAGTCGCTCCATTTTTCCGTTTTGGGGTTTTGCCCTTAAGTAGACTAAACCTAAACCTAGGCCTAAACCTAAGCTTGAGCCTAACCTAGGCCTGAGTCTAAGACTAAGCATACTCCATTACGGAATAGAGAGACAAAGCGTGTGAGATACGTTTCGTTACGTGAGAGGCCGCTAAAAGGCCATAGGGAATCCTAGGCCGCTAAAATGCGTACAGATGACTTCGCAGACCCTTTAAAGCGTTTATCCATCAAGGTATGGTTAAAGCAAACCAGGACCAGGTATTTTTTCTGAATTCCTCGAACCAACGAGATCATATTCGAATTCATGCCGAAAATCCGGAGAAACCAGAACCGAAAAACGTCGATATCTGGTGGGGAAGGGGCCACGTTTTCTCCACTTTGCCCCTCGAATGCGCTGCTTTTTGGCGGCATAGTTATGAGGGTCGCCGCATTTTATAGGGATCCAGAGTTTCCGCATTTTTCTTCAGGCATTTAAAGCAACGCTAAATGTTAAATATTTAAATTGGAGAAAACAGGTCTAGGTGGCCTGGTGGCTAACGCTTTGGTCTAAGAAGTCTACGACAGGGGTTCGGACCGCCCGAGGCCTGACTTTTTGATTTTGGCCTTTCTTTTTTGCCAGCACTATGTTCCTAAAATATAAAATGTATGTCTTTGATTAAGCTAGTGATGAATTTTTGAATGTTTAGTGCGAAATCAATATTGCAAACATATTTATCTAAATTTTGAATTCCTAATACGAACTCTCCCTGTTCAAATCCGCCAAATTACAACGATTTGACATACCAATCTCGCCCCCCACGGTTTTCTACTCGCCACTAAATAATCCGGCTAATCCGCTGGGCCACACCAGGGCGAACCCGCCGTTGGCTCGTTGGCTTTTCGTACAAATCCCATTTTTACGAATCGCAAATCAACGTTTCTGCGTTCAGAGCCGTAATTTGTACTTTTGTGCCGGTATTTTTGTAATATTCGGTTTTTGGATTGTTCGCTTATGTCGTTCTTTTTCCGCTTCTTGAAGCCGAACCCTATGGCTAAATCTAACCCTAAGTCTATTGGCTAACTAGGCATCCCTAGTAAGTCAAAGCCTAATAAGCGAAGCTAGCCTAAGTTTCTCTCTCTCTCTCTCTCTCTCTCTCTCTTGCTCTCTCTCTCTCTCTCCCCGCGCTCTCCCACTCTCTCCCTCTCACTCTCGCTCTCTCCCGCTCTCTCGTCCTCTCTCTCCGTCTCTCTCTCTCTCTCTCTCTCTCTCTCGCCTTCCAAACACTTATTATTCCACCCCACTTATAATTTCAGATGGCGACCGGTGCTCAGGGCGTGCCGCCGGCGGCCAGGCCGACCAGAATTTTGACTACATGTTCAAGGTATTATATAGATCTTGTTCCTAAAATAGTCGATCTATCCATATGCTACGATATTTTAAGCAAAAACTTAAAAAACGCAAGCTCTAGCCCATTTGGCGAGCTTCAACCCTCGCCACTTTATTATCCACTTTCCCGCGGCCGATGCTCGCCGGCCCGGGCCCTCCAATTTATCGGCTTTTCGCCCGGGACCCCCGCAAGCCGATGGGCGCCAAGATACGTCATAGGCAAATGTAAATTGGGTGCAAAACGCGCCGGAAACTAGAAAAATTTTTTCTGGATCTGGGGTTATCCGAACAAGGTATCAATAAAAAGTAAAATTGCCTCTAACAAGCCCTATTAAAGTCAAGAATTAACGTAAACGGAATGGAGGCCAAACTAAGTTTAATTATTTAGTAACTTGTGATTTAATAAGCCTCAAAACCAATTTTTAGCTTCTCATCATCGGCAACTCGTCGGTGGGCAAGACGTCGTTCCTCTTCCGGTATTGCGATGACTCATTCACGTCGGCGTTTGTCAGCACGGTTGGAATTGACTTTAAGGTAAGTAACGGAATTTTTAATGGCGACTTAAAGGTATTTACAATATCTAGCGCAATTTTGAAAGTTTTTTTTGAAGCGAATTTTAAGGTTTATAAAACGGTAAAAACGGTAAAAGAGTAAAAGAAACGGTAAAAAAAAGTAATATTTCAGCCCAAATCTCATCTTTACGATTCCTAAGCAACTGAATTCTTGACATTTTGCCTTTCGGATACCTTTAAACGAGTTGAGCGCATTTTTGCACACCTTAAAACATACTTTTCAGGTGAAAACGGTGTTCCGTGGCGACAAGCGGGTGAAGCTCCAAATTTGGGTATGATGAACCTGATTTTCCTATTTTCCGTTTAACTTCAGGACACGGCCGGCCAAGAGCGCTACCGTACGATCACCACAGCGTACTACCGAGGTGCCATGGGCTTCATCCTGATGTATGACATCACCAACGAGGAATCGTTCAACTCCGTACAGGATTGGTGGGTCTAATTGAAGTGAAGCCGAAGACTAAGCCTAAGCCTAAGCCTAAGCCATTCAAATCTTCAACTTTCAGGTGTACACAAATCAAAACCTACTCGTGGGAGAACGCACAAGTCGTGCTCGTCGGCAACAAGTGCGACATGGACGGGGAGCGGGTCGTCTCCATGGAACGGGGACGGCAGTTGGCTGATCAGCTCGGTGGGTTTTGTATGCTAATTAGTTGCTATACTAAATTGAGATTTTAACGGTTAAGGTTGGGGTGCTGCCTTTAAGTTTTTAGAATTGTTTTTAAAGGTCAGCATTTTTAGCCAAATAAGCCCGTTTCCCATAGCTAGAATCTTCACAAAACTTGGTCCCCAAATCGTCTGTTCTTCGGACAACCCCCAAACAGCCCTTCCGCGCCAAAAGTCAACATATGACACGTCCGGGCTCGGCTGTCCCCTCATATACCCCTCTCCCGCGTCCCTTCCCGTCGGTCCCGTGGTGTAGCGGTTAGCACTCAGGACTCTGAATCCTGCGACGGGAGTTCAAATCTCCCGGGACCTCAACGTTTTGCTTTTTTGGGTCTATATCTCCGGAAGTTGTACATTCACTTTTACCAATTTATTTGAACCATTTTTAGGCCTTCAATTCTTCGAGACATCCGCAAAGGAGAACATCAACGTGAAGGCGGTGTTCGAGAAGCTGGTCGAGATCATTTGCGACAAAATGGCCGAGAGTCTCGATAAAGTGGGCATATTAAAGCTAAGCAGCAGCACATTAACATGAAATTTCGATACAGATTTAACAAAGCTGAGGCTTAATTTTCAGGACCAACAGCAGCAACCAAAGGGCACCAAGCTCGACGCGACGACGACGCAAAAGCCGCCCCAGCAATCCTGCAACTGCTAGGCTCATCAGAATTCCTAAAAAGAATTATTTTTATTCATTGATCGCCATCACTTATTCCCCCAAAAAATCAGGGTTTGACACTTTTTAAAAGAATTAAAATCGATAAAATTGTCGAACCCTCCTCCAAAAAAACCCCACGTCCTCATCTGCCCTCTACAAAAATATTGCTCTACCGTATCCTAACGTACGATATCTTACCGTACTCCCAAAACTCCACCAAATCCCTAGTCAGCGTCGATAGTATTTATTTGTACCCGGCCCGCCGAGCAAGCGCTTCTTCTCTTCAGGTCTGCTTTCATCAGCTGTCCCACTAGGCACATTTTCTACAGTAATCATTTTTTATTTAGATTTTTTTATACTGCTCTACTTTATGTTACGATTTTATACTTAGTGGTACTATAAATGTAATTTTTAGTTTTTTTTTTGCTTGGGAATCGAAGTAAAAACTCGAGAATATCGAGGTTCTTGAGAAAACTCAAGCCCAAGCCCGAGCTCAAGCCTAAGCCTAAGTCCAAGCGTAAGACTCAACCTAAGCCTAAGCCCAAGCTAAGCCTAAGCCTAATCTCCGATTCCCAAGCCTACATTACACCCCGGTTAGTGACAATTTCCCAGCAACCGTTGTGAGTACAGCCCCGGAAAAGCACCCATAAAGCAAATAATTCCCCTCCCCTCCCTCTCACCAAGCGCCCCCTTTTCTAATTTTATTTATTCTTACTTTAAAATTATATATGCGTATAATACGATCGCCAGTATAAATATTTATTTTTAGGAAAAGTTTGTGAAATACAGATTAACGCACAAAACAACAAAAAGCAAGGCAAACAAGCAAAGAATATTGGAGACATTAAAGCTGTAACTTACCATATATAGAAAAGCCCATGCTCCAAAAGAAAAAACCTAAGCCTAAGCCCAAGCCTAAACTAATTCTAAGCCCAAAGCATCGACAAAAAACAGCCAAAATCAGAGAAAAATAATTTGCATAACCTAATTTGCATACGAGTTTTGCGATTTTCATGCAAAATGGACTATAAAAATCGTGAGCACCAGAAATCGCCATTTTCCAAAGCAACTTGTACCCCGTGCGGCTCGCCCATCCCGCCTCTTCATCCCTACCGACTTGTCAACACCACCAGCGTCGAGAAGATGCAGAGCTTCTCGAGCCTCTCGCTACTGGTAGGTGGTAATTTTTTCTAGTTTTCTTTCCGTTTTATACCCCCCACCGTTAACAGATCAGTACGCAGTTTTAGAGCGCTTCTACGGCCTACGACATGAACGAGAACCCGTTCGAGGATGCGCTGCCGGAGAGCGTGGGCTTATTTTCGTTTAAAGGCTAGCAGGGAGGATTCGGGAATTCCGCAAGGATATCTGCTGCCTTCCACAGCTAAACTTAATTTTTTTTGTCTCTCACATCAATTTCAGGGCGTCGAAACGGCCGTCGAGGTTCCCCTGCCAGCGATCACCGTCGGGATGTCCTTTGATGATGCTGAGGGTACGGGCCATTCCACTTTACGCTACTGTACGCTGCACATTTTCCAGTCAAACCCACCCCGCTGCCGGCTCCACAGTGCGGCTACTCGTTCCCGTTCAGAGACGTCGAGTTTATCGTCAAAACGGCTTCATATCAGGTAGCTCTCTTTCTCTCTCTCTCTCTCTCTCTCTCTCTCTCTCTCTCTCTCTCCCACTCACCTCCTTCCAGACTCTGCGTCGCGTCGAGGTGCGCGTCACGACGAAACAGCCGATGGAGGTGGCCTACGTGGCTCAAGTCCGCATCCGCACCGGCAACGGTGGCGTCCCGTCGACGAAAGTCGTGGACAAGGTACCGTAGCGCGATCACCATAATTGTATCCAGCCATTCGAAACTCTTCAGGACGTTTTTCACTTTGCTCCCCTCTTCCACCCGCTGCTCGTCAACATTGTCGACCATCGCGTGCTCCACGTCCACTTTGAGCTGCGCTTCATCAACCTGGTACGAAGGGCTGAGCTTGAGCTTAGGCTTTGGCTTATAGCTACCGCGAATTTTCTAGCTCGAGCGCCCTCATCCGAAGTACAACGAGGGGGACGTCACGCTCGTATTTCCGGACGGCTCGAGGTTGTCGACGTGGAGAGCACTGCTCGCCTACCACTCTCCCTACATGAGTATGTCTCTCTCTCTCTCTCTCTCTCTCTCTCTCTCCTTCACACGCACCTTCAGAAGAAATGATGCGCGGCGTACAGGAAGATGGCGTCGTCGACGTATCTCCCTTCTCGAGGGCCGACTTTGCCAGCCTCCTCGACTTCATCTACCCCACCCGCATGCCCATCTACAAGGAGTTCAAAGGTACGCTAGCTTACGGTTGCCCAGCAAGTTGAATAGGTCTCGTCCGCGCCGCCAACGCCTTCCAAGTGGAGACGGTGCTGTACGCCTGCTCACGCCATTTTGTCGACCACCCGGATTGGAGCATCGAGAAGAAGATACCGGAAGCGATCCGCATCGAGCTGCTGCCCGCCCTCGAGGAGCTCGTCTACAGGGTAGGGCTTGTGGAGAACAGTATAGGGAACGCCTCATCTTCAGGCCTACCAATCTGGCCTGTGGTCATCGATGATCTCTGCCGGCCTCCAACCGGAAGCGTACTGCGGTGTCGAGCCATATGAGAACGTCGTGTGCCCCACCATCCTCAAGGCCAAGTCGATGGTGTACGGCGAGACCCTCCTCCGCTCCCCTTGGCGCCAACCCCAATTTTTGACGACCCCCAAAACTGACCTCTGGATGTACTATCGGGTTTGTTGATGACGCAGTACTCGGTCGTACCGGTCTCGTTTCAGATTCTGGTAATGGGCACCCCATTCTACGTAAACCGCGGCGTGCTCAAGATCTACGGCACCGACGGCTTCATCGTCGGCCAAACACCCGCCTACCTCGTCGCCCACTGCACCAGCGACTTCATCGACGCGTGCAAGGCGGCCGATGCTACGCCGGGAGAGGTAAGGAAGACACCTTCTTGATCGGCATCTACTCCGTCTGAACACCTTCAGGTCGTCACCTCCCTCTTCACCTGGCTGCACCCCTCGCCCCGTCGGTCCCATCTCGTCTCCTCCGCCCCGCTCTCCTCTTCGCCCACCACCATCGTATGCAGATTGTCGTCGAGGAGTTGGAGCAGGTCAGGAAACCCTAATGATCTCCTTGAACCACCCCGGTTTCCAGCTGCTAATCCTGGAACCCCCGGAGACCGTCGAGCGCCTGCTGCAGAACTTTGTTCTCGCCGAGGCTCTCCACCTCGACAACCTCCTGCGCACCAACCTGCAGCGCATTGACGGCAGGTTGGTAGATGAACATTGGCTGAATCTGCTCTTTCTTGCAGTTGCCAGGTGATGGCCAACGAGGTGGTGGCGCATCCGCGTTTCGCCAAGCTGTCTCCCGGGCTGCGCCGTCTGATCGTCGACCGCATCTGCTCGGGATGGGGCATCTACAACTACAGCCTCGTCAAGAAGCAGCCCACCCGCCATTGTGTCCGCCACGTTAGCCTCGAGGGTGGAGGGCCACCGGTAAGGGAATGAGGAGCAGAAGCTTAAGCCCAAAGACTAACCTAAGCCTCACACAATCCCACCCTTTTCAGCTTGATGAAGGTGCCGGCTTGGAGACGTTCCACTCGCTGCTGTCCCACTCGATCTTTGGCCCTCGCCACGAGATGTCGACGGTTCGAGGCCCGGCAGCTGCCGTCTAACAAGCCACGCCCCCTTCCCCCTCGCTTGCCGATCCCTTTAAAAAGCTGTGCCGTGCCAATGTGCATTTGTCTATTCGCTTATTCGCTCATTTGTGTCTCATCTACACACCATGCGTGTTCCATTATTGTCTTTTCCATTTGGGGTTTCTGCTGGCCGATTTTAAGTGCGTCGAATAAATGTTCGTTACTGTGAATGGGGAAAGAGAGAGAGAGAGAGAGAGAGAGAGACCAATCTACCAACGCCCAAAGCACGCGCAAAAGATGACTCGAAAGCGCGCCATAAATCAACCCAGATTCAGCTACCTTTCCGGCCGTTTAGCCGAAGCGCTGATAAGCTCCCGGCGTCCAAAGGCCACAGAAACGTCAGAATCAACTCGATTGCTGCAGGATAAAGCCGCGAGTAGCAGCGCCAGAATTCGACTAACGCGATTGTTTTGATGATGCAGCGCCTAATTTTATTCTTTTCCCTAACGGGCTTGATTCTGGCTCAGGATGGCTGTAAAAAAGTCGTTAATGCGGATATACTTATCGTCTACGAACAGATATTGCCAATTGATCCAGCCAATGTGAGTTTCTGGTATCGACCAGAATTTGTGCCTAATCCTAAGCCTAACTGTAAAGTGTTTTTACTCAGGCTGGCGTTTTAGAATGGGACGTCTAAATCCCATAATATTCTTCATTTTGCATAATTCGCCCAAACTGCGATGAGAAACACTGAGAAGTGCTCGCTCTCTCCCATTAAATAGGCTATCGCCACTTCCGGCGTATGGTAATTATTTCCTAACAAAGAGGTCGCCCGATTTTTCAACAAAAACTTAATTTTAACCTCGAAAATAGCATAAATTTCAAAATCTGGTATGCGTGCAGTCGTCTCGGTGCCATTACGCACCTAATGACGTATCATACGTAGCTGAAAAACCTTCCCCTCATGAGTTATCTTCCGGACACGGGGACGGAAGTTGCATGCAAATGCACACTGACACACAGACACTATTTTTTTTTATATATAGTAGGATTCGACATTTAGGCTAAAAAAAATTGACTAAATCTGGATTTTTTGCGTTATTTTTTGAGTTTTCGTCACCTCCGACGTTAAAACTGGCTCGGTAATGGTTTTAGAGGGGAAAGCACGATTTTATGCAAAAAATCATGTGTTTTTGTGCAAAAAGCAAAAGAAATGATGCAGGGCGGGGATCGAACCGCCGCCCTGTGCCTGGCAAGCGAACAGCTTACCAATGCACCATGGTGCCAACTGGGAAGGGGGCTTCGGGAGGGTAGATAAGGGGCACAACAATACCTGGAGCCAGACAGGGAATAGTGGGTCAGCATCCGAATTTATGCCGTTTTTAAGCTTCATTTAGACCAAAAATCACTTTTCAACGCGAAGTCCGCAGCAAATTTGGAAAACGGATTCGGAATCAGCAAAAAAATTCTGAACAAGATAGGCTTGGTCCCATCCTAAGACGCCAGCCTGAGTAAAAACACTTTACAGTAAGCCTTGCCCGGGCCCTAAGCCTAAGCTTAAAGGGGCCCAGAAATGCCAAAAATTGAGTGACCGCCTGAAAATCGGAGGCCTGGACGTCGGAGGCCTCTGTACACCCCGGGGCCCGGGAAGCTCGCAAATTTGAGATAGCCTGTTGTCACCTCGAAATCACGTTCTCGGTTGTTTCTGGGCCAAATTTGATGATTAAAACACCAAAACTATTTAAAATTGAGTGAGGATTTCAAAAATGGGCTCAGAATGCGCAAATTATAGTGTTTTCACAAAGAAACCGGGCAAAAACAGTTTCGCGCAAAAAGCGAAAGAGTGAGGGCTCTCGTCCCGCAGCGCCCGCTGGCAATTTGCCAGAAATCAAAGAGCCCTCCCAAAAGGGCTTTGATTTGGCAGTTCGGAGCCCCTTTTAAGCCTTTTTAGGACCTTATGTATTTTGTCGCTGGTGATATATTCGAAGACCAGACGGCATACGATTTCGGTGATACGCCGGTGACCTCTCGGATCCGCGGCGTGGGTTTTCCATTATTTTTCGCAATCTCTTATAGTTAATGTACCCTCAAAACATCAGCACGCGTGTCTTTGAAGCCAATATCGGGCTCGGCGGATTTGTCGAGGCGATATTTGATAATGATGAGGAGGCATGGGGAGACCCACAAAGCTCAGCGGATATCTCTGTGTAAGGTCATGTTTGCAAGGGATGGCGACAGCCAAGAAACGGTGCTTACAGCTGTATTAGAGGGATTTACCTAACAGGGAATTTATAATTAATTTTTAGGGTGCTCTCCGAAGTGGAAAACCGGTTTGACGACACGAATGGAAGGAATCGAGTGGTGATCCTGATCGGAACTGAGTAAAACTCTTTTTTGCTTGAAGACATCTTTAGTGACCACTCTGTCAATAGCAGTATGGCGTTGTCGAAATCGCTACAAGTGGGTTTAATTTATAGCTTTTAACGCCGCTTCTTACACCTTTTAGGCCTTAAATTTTTTTGGCTTCGACTTGTATTCGTCGTTTGTAGCCTATAGCCCGCAATTCCAGGACAAGGGCATCTTCATCATGACCGTCTCTTTCTACAACAGCAGCCTCGGGGCATTGGCCTCACCCGGAGCCACATTTTCCATATCTGATGGCGACTACAGCAAACTGCCCGCACCGATTGCCCAGCTTCTTGGTAACATTTCTACGATTCACGTGATAGTTTTAGTGTCCAAATTTGGAGTATGCGCTCCCGACGGGAAAACGACGGTCCCGCCGACGACACCAGTGAATACCGCACCGCCACTACCTACTTGTGCGCCTGGGACGCCGATTGGGAGGAGTGTGGCTCTCGTTTGGGATATATCCTTCGACAATAATGGCAGTGATTTGAATCAATTGGTATGTGAGCAGATCGTACTCTCTCTCTCTCTCTCTCTCTCTCTCTCTCGCTCTCTCAATCTCTCTATCCCGCTCTCTATCTCACTCCCTATCGCTCTTTCTCGCGCTCTCTCTTGCTCTCATTCGCTCTCTCTCTCTCTCTCGTTTTTTCTCTCTCGTTCTCTCTCTCTCGTTCTCTCTCTCCTCTCTCTCTCTCATCCACATCAACATTTTTAGGCAGTAGTAACCCTCCTAACCCCTCCTCGTGAAGCAACCCGAATGGCAGAACGTCTCCTTCTCCCTCATCCCATTTCCAGATCCAAAATCATTCCCAGACAACTCCATCGACTACCAATACAGGTCCAGCCTTCCCTTCCAAATCCCCTTAAACCCGATTGCAGAACCCCCTTCGGCAGCCTAGCCAAAATGGTCTTCCTGGAGCGCACCAGCATCTCGGGACCGAACAATATTTCCGATATGGCAAGGTGAGGCGTGAAAAAATGCCCTGTCGAAAATTGTGTTTTCAGCGGCCTCTCCCTCCTTGACTACACCCCGCCCAAAACGGCTACTATCCCGACCGTTTTATTGTTTTCTAGCAGGTTTGTGACGTCGATAAATGCAGAAAATAAATGATAATGCCTAGGGATGATCTGGTCCCAAAAGCAGAAGCCGAGGCGGACCGGTTATATGATTGCTATGGATACGACTTTTTTACAGGTTTGAGACGAGGTTTTTTGCACTTGTATCGGTTTTAAATGGGCTGGAAAGCGCAAAAAAGCTGTAGTCGACTAGGCGTCGAGAGTTCTATGGACCTAAGCCTAAGCCAAGCCTGATCCTAAGCCTAAGCATATGTCTAAGAGATTCTAAGCCTTTCTAGGATACATTTCATTACAGTGTCCATCGGCTCAAAGCTCAACTTCGGCTCAATCCCCTCCCAACCCGAATACCAGTTCCTCCTCGACGGCAGCTTTGCGCCTGGAAATTTTGTCGAAGTCGCCAATCAAATCACGAAAGCCATGGCATATTGCCCGCCAAGTGTTTCGACACGGAGGGCACGAGATCCGGAACACTGTAATTGATAGATGCAACAAAAATAAATGTAACCAGGGTTGAAAATCCGCTTCGCGACTTTTCAACCCTGGCCTTTCTTCGGGGTCCTTTGATACACGGGCACTTTGCATATTATAATTTGCATTAATTTTACGAATTACGTTAGGGATAGGCACACCACAGGAATTAATTGAGCAACCGACTCGAAACCCAGCAAAGCCTAGAATGAGCCGAATTAATCCTCGTATGCAAATTAGTCTATTTCCATATGTTTTTAAATCGCTAAAATAAGGTATAAAACGTCATTTTAGTTAAAATCTGATAAGCGCGCAGTAATCTACGCCTTCGATTACCCCTAACCACTTTACTCCTGAACCATAAAATCCTCTTTCCTTCGAGTTATGGCTGGAACCCGGGTTTTTATGCAAAGTGTCCACACACACACAGAAACTATTTTTTTATATATAGTAGGATTTCCCACGTGAAAACTCTTATTATTGGCGGAATGCGGGAAAATCGATCGATTCTATGCGGGCATTTTTTTGTCGGTATTCCGGTTGTCGCAGTTTCTATCGACATCACTGCCAACAAAGCCGGCGCGGCGGCTTCCGATTTGTTCCGAAGGTCTCATCCCCTATCAGAACGTTGTGGCTTTCTCTGTTCCGCTATTCTTCCCCTTTTTCGAGACGGGTGATAAGCTGGCTTGTCGTTTTCCTAAGAAACCCGGCTTACACGGGACTCAATCGTTAATTTACACCCTCGAAAAAATGGCTGGCAGCATTCGGAAGCTGCAAATATTCTCGTTTCTGGTGCTTATTCTTGGGATTGCGATCGGGGCCGCTGGCATTGTGGTGGCCATTGTATTTGGGACAAGGTGTAGGTTAGAAAAATTAATTTTAAATTAGAGAGAGAGACGGAGCGAGGAGAGAGAGAGAGAGAGAGAGAGAGAGAGACAGAGAGAAAGAGCGAGAGAGCGACTCTACTAGTTTTTAGCCTGTAATTGCGATTCCACGAATGCAACCACGCCACAATCCCCTGTCACTTGCAGCACAAAAATTTTCAGGTTTTTGTAATTTGCTTATTTCTCTTATATATTTTGAAATTGCAATGAATTAAAGGGGCTCCGAACTGCCAAATGCCAGCGGGCGCTGCGGGACGAGAGCCCTCACTCTTTCGATTTTTGCGCGAAGTTGTTTTTGCCCGGTTTCTTTGTGAAAACACTATAATTCGCGCATTCTGAGCCCATTTTTGAAATCCTCACTCAATTTTAAATAGTTTTGGTGTTTTAATCATCAAATTTGGCCCAGAAACAGCCGTGAACGTGATTTCGAGGTGACAACAGGCAATTTCAAATTTTGCGAGCTTCCCGGTCCCTGGGCGTACAGAGGCCTCCGACGTACAGCGCTCCGATTTTCAGGCCATTACTCAATTTTTGGCATTTCGTAGCCCCTTTAAGATATCTAAAACCCAAAAAAATACAAAAATCCACTTTCAGCCTTCGCTCACCCGTGAAAATCAACTGGGACCCGAAGCTTTTAGACCCAACTAGTGCCCTTTATAAAGCCAAAAGAGCAGAGGTAATACAATCGGTAAGCGGATACTGTAGAAAAAGACGCGATTTAGTTTATGGATTCCCTGATAAACTCGAAAAGCCATACTTCTCTATCTATGCTAATCACTTATACGCTTGACGTGAATTTATTCGAGTAAGTCGAAGGGTAGCATACAATTCTTCACTTCAGCACTTCACATCACTATTTTCCATAGTAAAATTCGGCGCTTCCAAGGCCCTTTAAAACGCCAAACTGTGAATTTAAGACCAGATCCCTCCTCGAAGACGTCGGCGTATGTCTATGCATCGGCTGCGGCTAGTGGAGCTATGGATTTGGGCCTGATTCCTGATTCGAGCGCCTTGGCGGATAGGATTAGCAAGGCTTCGATTGCCGCCGGAGCTTCTGATGTTAATAGTAGGCTGAAAAAATTGATTAAATTAGCTTCCTGGTACCTTTAATTTAATTTGATGATTTTTATAGGAGTAATTTTTCTAAAATTCACTTTATAAATAAGGGATTTGTTTGGATTTGCCGCTTTTGCAGATAACACCCTCCAATTTTGCAAGGAGCCAATTGTGCCTGGCGTTTCGACGGCAACATCCCCGCCCGTGGTATGTCCAACAAGTCCAAGCAGTACACCACCGACTACCATCCACATGCCAGAAAATTCGAGCGCCGCCTCGACGTCTCATTCTCCGACTAAAACGCCGGTTACGAGGTCGAGTTCTTCCAAAGCGACGGCGAGTGCGACGAGTTCAAGTAGCCCAGCGTCTTCTACGAGTTCACGGAGCCCGGCGAGTCCAAGCAGTCCCACCACTACAACCAAACCAACGGCTGCACCCAGTTCAACCAGTGCCCAGCCCTGCGTGATCAACGCCGACATTGTGCTCGCTTATGAGCAAGCTTTTTACGAAGCTGATGCGCTGAGGATGTTGAACTACATCCTAGGCGGACTTTTCGCGTCTCCGTATTATCGATTTGGAGGGGAAACCCGTATGGTTACGGTGCCATATCCATATGATGAAGCCCTATCGAAGATGGACGACAATTTGGGATGGGACGGATTAAAGGTAGGATAGAAGTTCTGTCGCCATCCCTTTGAAAATCTGTGACGAGCGGCCGCGTTGCGGGCCTCGTCTTTTTGATACTGCGACGCGCCCGATGGCACACTAATATCGTCCTCCAATCCTTTTTAAGGACCTGATGATCACCGCCAACCGTACAATCTGGCCAAGCCGACCCGCCGACCCCTACCTACCGACAACAATCTTCACAGCCGACCACGAGTTCGAGCAGTCGTCCCTCAACCGCAACAGGGTCATCTTCTTCTTTGGGAAGGAAGACGACACGGTGAAGTACGCAGAAGGGTATGCGGATGTTGTCAAGGAGGAAGGGACCCGGATACTGACGCTCTCTACTCTTAAGGCCGATTTGGGCCCATTGGCCTCGCCGGGGTGGTCGTTTTACATCGAGGATCCGGATATGGCGGGAAATATGAGTGATGTGATTGCTGATGCGTTGCTGGGGGCTTTTAGTAGTTGCCAAGGTAAGGTAGAGGATCTCTATCTCATCTCTCTTTCTCTCGCTCTTTATCTCTCTATCTTACCCTTTCGCTCGCTTGTGCTATTTATCTTCTTATTTCAGCCCCAACATCAACCCAACTCCCGCCAACCAGCTCTCCCTGCACCCTTTTCATTAACGCCGACATCATCATGCTCATCGAAATGAACTTCCCGATCTCCCAATCAAACGTGCTTCTCGAGGGTGCAGAAGACATCTTCACCACCGCCCCGAATAATTACCAATTCGGAGGGAAGACTCGGGTTGCGGGGCTGGCCTATCCGAGCCTAGACTCCACTGATCCGCTAGCAGAAAATCTTGGGTTGGACACCTTTGTAGCGGAAATGCAAGCCATTAATGCATCTATATGGGACGTGGGGCTCGGTGCGACTGATTTAAGCGCGTAAGTCTTGTTCTCTCTCTCTCACTCTCACTCTCTCTATTATTTTTCATCACTTTCAGGGCCCTCACCGCCGTCGAAGGAGCTTTCCCAGACCCGACCCGAAATCGTGTCCTCATCATCGTCGGCAAAAAGTGAGTTTTAAAAAAACCGAAGAACCCTGAAATATCTTTAGCTACACCACAGTAGCCTCCGCCGCACCCATCGCCGACCAATTCAAAGCCGGGGGCATGGCGGTAATCACGGCCTCCTACGATAGCAACGGGTTGAAGCCGCTCGCTACTCCGGGGCTCGACTTCGAATTCGATACGCTATTTGCGTATTTGATACCCGGGGAAGTGAACGAGGCTTTAGGTAAGATATTACCAAAAATGGGAAGCTAGATCGGGCTTAAGAGTGTTCCCCGACCATTTCACTTAGGTGAGGCTTAGGCTTAGGCCTAGACTTAGGCTTAGGCTTAGGCTTAGGCTTAGAATTAGGCTTAGAATTAGGCTTAGAATTAGGCTTAGGCTTAGACTTCGGCGTGTCCTTAAGCTTAAGCTTGGCTACCGTTTGATTCGTTACAAATATTTTCAGTGAAGCGTTTCCCATCCTGCAAAACTCAGCCGGTGCCATGATCTCAGGAATGTTGTTTGTACTTTCTTCTTTAGTAATTGTTGAAAAAGATAAAGAATAAATTCTCTTTTATCCTTGCATAGCTACCTTTATCAAGGTTTTTCCGCTTTGATCAGTGTATCGACCGGAATTTCCATCGCCTCTGCATACTGGCGCATTTCGGTGAGTTCCTCTGCAGTCATGGGAGGGATTTCAATGTGTTGGAGGGCTTCCTGAAATTTGTGGAGATGTTTTGATCTCACTCTCTCTCTCTCTCTCTCTCTCTCTCTCTCTCTCTCTCTCTCTCTCTCTCTCTCGCTCTCTCACCTACCTTGCTGAGGAACGTCCCCTTCTGCGAGTCCTCCCCCTTCCACTTCATCGCCTCCAACGCCGTCTCCTCCGGGATCCCGATCTAAAAATGTAGTTAAATTTTGTAGTTTGTAGTTTTCCACATTTCTAAAAATCTCCCGCAGCAGCTGCTCAGTGTTGTGGATGAGGTCGTGGAACCAAATGCAGGGCATCAGGAAGCGGGACTCGTTTTTGAGGTAGTGGCTGTACGGGAGGCATAGACGATGGCAGCGCGCTTCTAAAAAACGTGCCTCGAAGCATGAGCCAAACCCAAACCCACCTTATCCGTATCCGGCTTCAACATCCGATTAAACGCCCCTCGTACCCGGCCAAATACCCGAAAATCCACAGTGTCAACCGGGGAAGGTACAAATGGAGTGTGGTCAATACATCCCCAATCTCTTCCCGTTTCAGCATCCGCTCACACGAATCAATGCCGTCTTTCCGGAACGAGAAGATGTTACGGAACTGCGGGATGTTGTCGGTGAACTCCACGAGGCGGACGCCTGAAAAAAAAGAGGTAGCGAAGGAGCAAAACGAGAGAGAGAGAGGAGCGAGAGAGAGAGAGAGAAAGAGAGAGAGAGAGAGAGAGAGAGAGAGAGAGCGAGAAAGAGAGAGAAAGCAGCCACTTTTTACGTACCCGAGGATTCGGCCTTCAGAATAAACACTTGGTCAGCAGGTACGTCTTTGCGAAGTATCGTAATTACACGCGGTAGCAAGGAGGTGACATCCTGAAGAGGTTTATATTTTTAGAGCATAGAATTGCAAGAATTCCATTTTGGTAGCTAAAAGCATGTTCCAACCACGTCAAAAACCCGTAGTTTTTTCAACTCTAAAATGCCCACGATTACAGGGTACCCCTAACAACGCTCTAATTTCTCTTTCTCACCTCTTTAGTCAAATACCCTTCCGCATATCCGATGGTCAGACAAGGAATTGGGTACGGCTCGGCGACGCAGTGCGATTTTCCTTCATTGTGAAGCATCTTGGCAAGCAGCGTACTTCCACATCTGAATAAAAAAATGACAATCGCTCTCTCGCTCTCTCTCTCTCTCTCTCTCTCTCTCACTCTCTCTCACTCTCTACCTCACTCTCTCTCTCTCTCTCTTTTAGTCTCTCTCTCCTACCTAGCCGTATTCGTGTAGAAGATCGTGTCAGCTTGCGGCCGATCAGCCAACTCATCAGCAAGCTTTTCAAACTCTTCCCTAGGCGCCTCGGCTACGAGCAGTGCCTGAATTACATAATTAACATTTGCTTCCCTTTCCAAACATACCTCTTTGAAATAATCCACATACACAAATGGACATCGCTGGGAATTGTACCATAACACCGGTTTTGGCAAATACACAAAGTAAGCCGTGTTCTGGAATCAAGCTAGCACTTTTAAAGGGACAAGAAATGCAGGTAATCTAGCCAAGAGCTTTTGGGAAGCTTAGATACCTTAGTGAGACAATATAGCGTCCAGTGACTGCCGTCTAATAGGCTCGTCGGTACAAAAGAGTTGTGGACACTGAGAAAATCCATGCCACGCGCGATTTCTTCGACATCGCGTTTTCTGAAAGGTATTTAGGATGCAAGCCTAAGCCTAACTTAGGCCCAAGTCTAAGCCTAAACCTAAGGCTAAGCCTAAGCCTGAGCCTAAGTCTAGCCTAAGCCTAGGCCGAAGCCTGAGCCCAAGCCTAAGCCTATGCCTATGCTTACGCAAAAACTTCATCATTCCCTTACTTTCTATGTACAATTGAGCACAATCTAACATGTCCCTCCGGGATCCGATCGATCCTCAACAGCGTCCTATAGATTTTCTGCAGTGCAAAAATGGCTTGCACCGCAAAGAAGTAGACGACCCACAGTTGCAGCTCGAGAAACTTGTGAACTCGTCCCATTTCTGCAACATTTTTGGAACAATTTAGCCGTGGAATTAGAATCCAGAAAAGTCTAAGCGTAAGAAAAAGCAAAAAGTAGACATATAAGGAGAGGAATAATAAAAAATAGATTGGTATGCCGATATTTGAAGTGAGGCCAGGTTGACTATAAATGCCCCGAGGGGATGTCAATGACTAGTCAGCACTAGCAGGGGCCGGGGTTAGCCCCGGGCAGCATTTGCATCATCAATCGGATGGGGAGTGGAACTGGACTGATGGAAAGTGTATAGTTTGTGACGGGAAACTCTCTCTCTCTCTCTCTCTCTCTCTCTCTCTCTCTCGCTAGCTCTTTTTGACTTTTTAAACTTTAAAGGCAGTCGGAAAGACTCTAAATTTGGTCTATAAAAACTAGGAAATTAATGGCCTCAAATGGATATTCAGCACATTCACCAATTCAGTTGAAATTAAAGTTTAAAATGAAAAATTATGTTAAAAAATATGCTTTTCAATGCGGCGCTGATAGCATGGCCCGGAAAATGACCTTGTTCGGTCGGGTAGGATCGGGAAAAGTGCAGCAGTGCCCCCGGAAAGAACTATTTTGGGCACGGGATCGATTTATCGCCGGTCAAAAGCCCCGGGAAATGGTTGCTGTCTGGAAAGGTTTAGCATATAGTCTAAAAACTGCACGGAATAGCGGGGCGCTTCCACATAAATCCCCGCTAGCTTGCCCTCCTATGAAGCTAAGTTTCGAAAAATCCATGCTAACTTGCGTTCGCAGAGAAAGAGAGGGGTGAGAGAGAGAGAGAGAGAGAGCGAGAGAGAGAGAGAACGCTACCTCAATAACATTACCAAAAAATACAGTTTATTTCCAACAATTCCCCGCCGCTCCAAAGATCACCCGATTTTCCGTACCTCCGATCCCCCAAACAACCCTTCCACCTAGAAGCCAAATATGATTTTAATTTTTTAATAAACTCCCAAAGGTGCTGACGGGCTTCTGAAAAGCGTCAGAACAGCCTCCACTCGGGATCCCAGCCAAAATATGAAGCCTTAGAGGGCTAACTTGAAACCTTTCGGTGGTCTAGCCGACCAGACTAATTTCTCTTTGGCTGGATTTTGGTTTGGGAGAGTACAGCGAAAAAGGTGATGCCAGTTTTTGGTGAGGATTCGGAAGAAATCCTAAAATCGTTGAGATCTAGCCTTGAATAGGCTGAGGCTTTGCTTAGGTTTTGGCTTGGGTTTTGGCTTAGGTTTAGGCTGAAGCTTGGCTAGTTTAAGGGAGGAGGGAGTCTAAGGCTTAAAGAGAGAAGAGAGAGAGAGAGAGAGAGAGAGAAAGAAAGACAGAAACAAGGAGATGAAAAGGATCCTCAAAAATTTTCATGCGTTGCTGATACCCCTTTATAATAGTAATATTTCCCTCCGAAACCTGCCCTTCTTTATAGTTCCCCGTTCAACTCCGTGCAATAATTAAGGACGGCCCGTCGGGAAATTGGAGATCAACTTTTTTTAGCGTAGGCGCTGGTTTCGGGGGAGATTTGGGCACGGCAAATTAAATGACCGCATTTCCGCGCCAACGGGGGTTCAGGAATAATCCGGATTTCGGGTATGTTGCATTGAATTCTCATCAGATAGCTCATACATAATCCCCTAGAGGCGGCGTTGAATGGCCATATAGTGGGAGCTCGATTTATTAGGATCGGGGGGGTACTGTAATCCGAGAAAGGCGAATTTGCATAGTTTCTTGGGGAAGAATAAGAATTTAGTTTTTTTAATTTCGTTTTCGGATCATAGCAGTTGTTTGAGGAAGAGCGAGAGAGAGAGAGGGAGAGAACGAGAGCGAGAGCGAGCCTGCGAGAGAGTGACAGCGAGACACAGAGTCAGAGAGAGAAAAATAGACGGAGCACGCTTCTATGTTGCATTTTGGGATTCTGCCTGTTGAGATCGTATATGTCGTGATTTTGCCGTTTTTCCGGAATAGCAAGCTGGCGGAGATTCTGGAGGAACTGCTCCGACGAGACGACGTTCTGCGTTGTCGCTCTCCCCATCTCTCTCTCTCTCTCTCTCTCTCTCTCTCTCTCTCTCTCTCTCTTTTCTGATTTCAAGACTTAAAACATTGCAGCTTTCCAGGATCTCTGTCTCCCATTCTTGATTCAGCTTCCATATATCCATTTTTCATCACCCGTGTTTTGCCCCATTTTGGCGAGAAGCCAATGCCCTCATGAGTTGCAACTACTCCCTCTCCCATCATTCTAATAATAATAAATGAGTTGCAGAGAATGGCATCACACCTCCAAATAGAGAACACAAACATTCCGGGGCTGCTTATATTCTTATTTATCTGAGGCTAGACTCCATTCCAAGGAATGCCCTGAAAATGGGGCGCCAAATAAAAAGGTGTACGACCTGGATGATGGGATGTCCGAAAAGGAGAGGGATTTTTCCAGTTAAAAGGGGGTGTAAGGAGGAGCTGGAGGGAGGGAGGTATTAGTTATGCAACCCACTTCCTCATTCATTCAGGGGGTTCTTCCAGAGATAGATGAGTTGACTAGCCACATCATTTCGTTCCTGATCTACGGGGAGGTCCACGAAATAGGTGATAAAAAACAGGAGGAAGCGGTTCCGCCTTTTCATAGTTAAAGGGACAGGATGGGTCCTTTATCCTTACCACGGCACTCAACAAATGAGATTGAAGTACAATTTTGTAAAATTCTAGATTATGTTTGACTACACTTTTTAAATTACTATGCTAGTAAAAAGTAAATAGTTGTATTTTTCCTTCCGAGTAACTTTAAAAAGACCGGGAAAATAACTTTCTAACTAAAACTAAATAAACTATCTTTCGCTCTCTCTCACTGGCACTCTCTCTCGCTCTCTCTCTCTCGCTCTCTCTCTCTCTCTCTCTCTCTCTCTCTCTCTCTCTCTCTGGATCGCGTTCTTTCATTTTAGCTCACGCTCAATAAGTATTAGGTTGGACCGAAAGTAATTGTAGTTTTTCGATTGTAAAAATTTCATGGAAGCCACCATCCGTTCACTTTAATTTTTTGCTATGATGGAGGGGCACGATTTGTCCAGTTTCAGTTTGATTTTCAACCCGGGACTGCCACAAATTTTTTAATTAGCCGGATAAGTGCGCGCGCAACCCGGATTCCGGGTTATTGGTTTCCGTGAGGGATATCGTCGGCTGTTGCAACGCTAGTGACCCTGAATAAGTGGTAGTAGATAGAGAAAAGCTCGGTCTATAAAACGCATTACATAGAATTTTGATAACTAGCTTCATTATTTTTTCCCGGGGCAGTTTTAAAAGATGTCGATATGGCTTTCCGGGCTCCAAATCGCCAAATTCCTTTGCCGGCCGTTTTCTCCGAGTTCAGTGGATAATTTTTCGATTGGACTCCATCAAAATGAAGCCTAGTGAACGCTGCTTAAAGCGCGTAGATCACCTAAGATCACATGTTCTGTCTCCGCCTGAGATTCAGACATGAATCGTACTTTCCGACACACTCTGGTTTTATTTTCTTCTGCGTGAAAGAATGGGTTTAGGTTACTGAAAATTTTAGCACAGTATTTACTGCTGATGCTGAATAATACTGTACTATAGAAAAATCTTGATTGGCAAAGGTGAAAGAGTAGCAAGGAAAATTGTGTGTCGCCAGCCGATCTTCTGGTCGGTTAAATGATGCCTCACTAAGTTGCAAAAATTGTTCAGATAAAGAAGGGTGGGAAGAGAGCTGGGATTGGTACTATGTTTGTCATTGAAAACCATCTATGATAAAGGGATCGGATCTGATTTGATTGTCCTCAATAGCTTTATGAGAGCAATTTAGCCAAGCTCACCGAAAAGTCGGATTTTTATTCAAACAAATGAGAATATCGGCCAACGCTAAATCCGTTAGCCGAATTGGACACCATAGCTAGAAAGATATTAAACTGGCTTTATACCTTACCGATTACAATGGGGGGATAACGACCTTAGTAATTTTTATAAGGGTAGAAGCGAAGAGGGATCCCGGATGTCGCCGCCTCGGGTCGACCGGTGCTCGGGACAAAATCAGTTATAAATAAAGTTGTAGAGCTAGGATCCGCTCGATATTTTTAGGGTATGTAGTACCTTGCCAGACCAAACAGAGAAAGTTGAAACCCAGCCAGCTCCCTGGTGGAGTTACTAGAAATATTGACCCAAAGGTAGATTACAATTACTTTCGGTCCAACCTAATACCATTTCCACGCTTTCGATCCCATTTAGCCGCTCTCAAACTCAGACTCAGTTCACATCTCTCTCTTCTCTCTTTCGCTCTCTCCATCTCTCTCTCGCTATCTCTCTCATTCTCCCTCTCTCTTTCCCCCCTTTCGCTCCCTCCTCTGTAACAAGAAGCCCGGCGAAATTTGTTCGTCTACAGTATCCCTTGCTTTTTCATTAGATCGTATGACAAATTTTTGATATAATTCTTTATTATTAAAGCAAAGTAAATAGAGATCATATATTGAGCTTGAGGTAGTAGTGGTGGACCCGTTGGGTGTCGAGGCGGAGGTTGTGAGGACCCGTATCAGCGGAGCGTAGTGGAACACGGAAGCGTAGCTTACGGTGAGATCGTCATTTGGTGGAGGCGCGGAATGTACAGGCAAAATAAGGCCGCGGAAGTCGGCGAAGTCATCAGAAGCAAGTCAGTGAAGCTCTTCGAGTATGGCAAGATAGAGGTTAAGTTGTTGAAGTCGATGAAGCCGAATTATGGTGGTTTGAAGTCAAAATCGAAGTATGAATCGAGCTTTTCAAGCCGTTCAAGCCGAAATTATGGCCATTAGGGCCAGATCATCGTCGTGAGGGTTTCGAGAAACGTGAAGCCGGTTTCTGCAGATACAGATCCACGCTGTCGTCGAGGCTAATGTGGAACATGGTAGCTGTGAGGGAGAAGCGGTTGAGGATCGCTTGGTATGTGTGTCCACTCCCCTTTCAGGGGCCCTTTAATACCCCGAGGGCCCAAAAGGGGGCGGGGCCCGGGTGTGAATCTTCTCTGGCTGGTCAGTAGTCTATTTGATGCAACCCTGCGACTCCACCCCCTGTTTTCCGACCATTTTTCGGGGAATTTCACAGGGAATCCGCTAAGAATGGGTGGTGAAAATGATAAGCTGGGAGGGCACATTTCATGAAGTGATTTATGGGGGTTTTGGAGGTGACGGCTTGGAGATGAAGCCGAAAAGTCACAATGTTGCTAGAAGTACGGTAATGGCTTGAAAATTGTTGCAAAGCGTAGCCAGTAGGATTTATTGGTAAGTTGTGATGTTTACGAGAAGTATTTTCTAGATAGCCTGGACTTCTGAGACTTTTGAAAGGAGTCTCGAAAGTAACGTCAAGCTGTTTCTTACTCTCTCTCTCTCTCTCTCTCTCTCTCTCTCTCTCTCTCTTTGTACCGTTTTAAAGGTACTAGAAGGAAAATTTGTTAACTCCTCCGGTAGCCGTTTCCGGCAACTAAAAATTTTAGAAGGGTACAGTAACCCAGAATTCTAGAAAAATACGATGGCAAATTAAGGATGTCTTCTGCTAAATTTAAAACCTACAGACTCTTCACACTTCATTTGATGCAATCGTTGCAGCAAACCAAGACATAAATCAGCCCATCACTTCCTCCCGATGCTTCAAGGCACGCCAAAGACTGATAAACCGTGCGAAAAGCGCCGAAAAGCATACATTTTCGCAGATTCCTCGCTTCTGGCGGCTACCTCCAGGTTGAACTTTCAGGTGGGACAAATAGATTTCGGCATTTTCGCGGGGTTTTAAAGGGACTGGCAAGGCAAACTGGTCTGAACTTTCCATATTCTTTCGGTCTCTTGCAAGCCTAATCGTAAGCTTGACCAAAGCCTAATAATCTAATCAAACCGAGCCTAGCCAACGCTCAAACCGAATGGAAGCTTAAGCTTAAGCTTAAGCCTAAGCCTAAACCTGCACCTAAGCCCAAGCCTAAGCCCAATCCAGAGCCTATGCCCTATTTTAAAATTCTAAAACACACTTGTTTTAGTACGCATACTGTGATATTCATACATTAATCTATTTTTATCTCTGTCTACCCTCAGCTGCTCCCCGAAATATTCATACGCTTTTCCGGTCCGCCTCCGCCGGGCAAAGAGGCACGTAAATTGGATAATTCGCTGTCTCACTTTTGCCAATTTTGCTGCCATAATCCGGACGCGACTCACCGTCCGTCCATAGGTCACTTTCGTACCCTCACTACGAAACTTTGCCGCCCCCCCCTCGTGACGTACCAAACCAAAAATGGACAAAAACGCATCTCGAAACATTTAATTCAGAGTCCCCAATTCCCACAAGGAACTCGGCGATGTACAGCGAAAATCAGTGCACTTCCGCCTCAAATTAAAATTCGGGAACTCTTGCTTGGGGCCAAAATACAAATTGGTTCTGTTTTTGGGCAGCACAACGTCGCATCATCAATTGGGGGAAGCCCGGGAGACACCGGGAAATTGCTAATTTGAATTCTGCTAACTTTTCGGGCTTTTTTTCCGGGGTGCTAATCCGGCAATGAAAACGGAGTGTAAGTGTAGGCGATGCTGGAGCAGACAATGGGATCAAGCCGGAGGGCGGATTTCTGCACGTTTTTTGAGGGGGATTTGGAGGGTGGCTAGGGCGGATTAGCTCATTTTCTGTCTCTTTCGAGCTCCTCTCTTTATTATTTTTTTTAACTTAGCTCAGCAGCGTAGGTTGACCTGAATTTGAATGAACCGATTACGTCTATGCTTTAGAGCCCGTTTTAACGGAAGGTGAAAGAGTCAAGCTTAAGCCTAAGCCTCCTAAGCATAAGCCTTAGCCTATCTCTAGGCCTAAACTTAAGCCGGAGCCCAACCTAACTTTAAGGTGTTTTTACTCAAGTTGGAGTTTCGATTCGGGACCAAGTGCTTCTTGTGCAGAATTTTTCGCTGATTCCGAATCCGCTTTCCAAATTTGCTGCGGACTTTTATTTTGAAAGTTATACAGCAGTTATGGTAGTGTTTTTCACCAAAATCAAGGAGCCGTTATCGTTTTCGATTTTCCTGATCAATTTCAACTTCAAAATTGGCTAGAGATTGGCTAGACAAGCATCTTAAAAGTCAAAACAAGCTTTTTTATAAAAAAATAAATTTTTTATGCAAAAAGGAAAAGAAAGGTGCAGGGCGGTGATCCGAACCTGCGCCCCGCGCTTGGCAAGCGAGTACTTTGCCAATGCACCATCGTGCCAACCGGGAGGGGAGCTGTGACAGAGTACTTCAGGGCCCCTAGCCCTCCCAATCCCTTTGAGACAATCCGTACTTTTCCCCGGCCATCCCTGATTTTGTTGTTTTGTTGTCATCCTACCCAATCCCCAGAAACCCCCCCAAATTTCCAGACCCATGCTGAACCGGGGGTTTCCATACACATTATTTTTGACCTTCTTCCACATTTCGATTCTTTCATTTCCAGAAAAAAATGGGGCTCGAAGCCAGGTGTGGCCTTTTGGGGGAAGGCGATGTTTCGGAGATCGCTGAAAAATTGGTGGAAGCCCCGTTTATTTTGGTTGTTTTGTTGGGGCGGTTATTGGCCGGATTAGGAGGATAGTTTTTGAACTTTTCCGGAAAATTATAATCGAACTTAACTTGGCTATCGTCAGAAAATAGGCTAAACTCTAGGCGGAGCTTATGCCCAAACTTCCCTGAGCCTAAGCCTATGCCTAGGCCTAAGCTTGCCTAGTTACACCTTCCTAACCCTCAAAAATCGCCTTACTTTTTCCGCAGTAAACCAAATATCCCATTCCGCCACCGCAACCTCATCTAATCCAGGTTTTTGGCCGAATGCCTTGGCTCCACCCTAAATATATCAAAAATCTGGGAACAGCCAGCTTCTTGCCCCAAAAGTGCTGGCCCGAAAAGGCTCAAAAAGTGAATTATTAATCGACCCGTCTCGCCCCGCACGACTTTTCCGCAAAAACACCCATTGGCAGGCCAGAAAACTAGCGATTTATGATTTTGCGGGATCGGAAATTGGAGTGTACCTACAGAATTATAAAACTGGCGTAGCAGCTCCTGACGGAGATACGTCAGCATATCGTACCCTGGCGTACTGTATCGTAATGCAGTGTATTGCTTTATCGAACTATGGGCATGGTAACGTACTTTTTCGTACTGTATCCTGGCGTATGGTATCGTAGCGTCCCGTCGTGACCTAGGCGTACAGTAACGTACTTTTGCGTACTGTACGTAATTGGCGTGACGTAGCTCAATGTACCCACTTCCCCATTCATAACCCAATCCGTTTCTGTACTCTTGCCACTTCCCAAGTAGAGCATAGAACAAAATATTGGAAGACAAAAGAGCATAGTCCGTGGTTGGGGCCGCTCTCTCTATTCTCGGACTGACCACATTCATCACTTGGACCCCGGCCTGCCAAGTACACAAATGAAATCATCCACTCCTAGTAGTCTTTTTAGGCCATTTTTTACGGCCCTTTTTAAATGGATTATTTTGTGAACATTGAATGAAGAAAATTAACTGGATAAAAGGTTCTAAAGGAGCTTGGAAAGCATTTGTCTTTCCATACCCCACAGATCACCCCGGCGCGTGCGCAAGCTATTTTCGGCCCGCCCATACCACCAATCATCCAAAAAATCCGAGTCCTCCAAGCGCAAATTACCCACCTAAAGCTTCAATCCGGAAGTGTACCTCTGATAATCACAACCTTAAAACCTTGATAAGCACTACCCCCTGCAAATTTGCCCACCCATCCACGCCCGGAGTGCCCTTTAATTTAGACCGGAAATGGTCGGAACCTTTCGAAAGGTTGGGATCAAGCTGAAAAAAAATAGACGGGCAAGCTGGCCGATTTCACGGTTGTACGGGTGGTTACGGTTTAATTTGAAGCAGGGGGTACAAAATATTGGCACGGGGATTTGTACCAAGGTCCCGATTGTGGTGCAGTAATTTTGTACGACCCCATAACGAAATAGCAGCCCCTTTTTATGGCATTTTACAACGTTTTTAGCTTTCAAAAACGCGTAAAATATTTTGAAAACCACGGAAATTTTCGAGTTTTTGCTCACAAATCCTGAAAAAGCATTAAAAAAGTTTAAATTTCCAAAACATCAACAACATTTTTTTTATCAAGCAAAAACTTGGTAAAAAATATATAGCTGAAGATCACTTGGAAATAGTCTCTCACTCTCTCTCTCTCTCTCTCTCTCTCTCTCCAGCACTTGCAGCGACTAAAGTGTCGTTATGACGAGTGTTTCATGATGAATTGGGTTCCACGACTTCCTCGAGTCGTATAAAACTCGTTGAAACCTGGCCAATCTCCCAAAATGATCGTGCTCATCTTTTTCTTGCTAGTAACGGCCACTTCCGGGCAAACAGTTCATCTCAAAGTTAAGGTAGGTTGGGGAAGGGATAAGAACTTTCTAGTCCATGAAATTCTTACAGCTTGGCGACCCCTACATCCTGGACATTCCGGGGGCCAAAAAGTTCATGCGTGAGCTTGCCTCCGGTGAGCAGCAGCTCTTCAAGATATGTGAGGATGAGACGGAGCGGAGTCTGAAGTGCACGCATTGGACAGATAAGGTCTTAAATTGCTGTAGACACTCAAAGAAAAATAGAAAGAAAATCTCTTGCCTCTGACTTCCCCAATACACGCCTATAAAAATGGCACGTTGGTGGTGGAGAAGCTGGCGTTGGATGATGTGGCGGTGTATTGGAGTCCGGATGTGGAGATGATTGTCACAGAGGTATAACAATTACCTCGACCGCGGGCGCCCAAGCCTAAGCCTAAACAAAGCCTAAACCTAAGCCCAACCTAAGCCTGAACGAAGCCTAAACCTAAACCTAAGCCTAAGCCTAAACGAAGCCTAAACCTAAGCCCAAGCCTCAGCCTGAGCCTAGGCTAGGCCAAAGCCAAAGCCTCCTTTTCTCGATATCCTTTTATAGCGCTTCGAAGATGGCGCTCCAATGGCCGTCATGCCGGGAACGATGGTTGCCCTGTTCCTCGAGAAATAAACGACTCTACTCGTCACCTAACGACAGTATTTTTGTAATGATAAAGCTTACCAGGAATTCCATTCAATTTCTGTATACGGCTGATGACTCAACACCGACAGTTCCCCATTGACACCCCACTTTTTGTGCGTTGTTTGCCCAACCAGGGGGAGGGGAGGAGGAGGAGCCGTGAGTTTGGATGAAAAGATTGTTGATGAGTGTGGGGATGATGGATCGGGTTTCCGTGCTTTTAGGAATATAACTGGGCAAGCCGAGAGTGCTGTCAGCCAGTCGATATCTACAAATGAGGAACTTTTTGGTTGTTTGCTGCTTTATTGCTGGCGCTCTGGGCCAGACTGCATTTTATCCCGTAACGGTACGTTTTTAAAAGTTTCTTAGGCTTAGGTTTAGGTTAGGATTTAGGCTTAGGCTGAGGCTTAGGCTTAGGCTTATGCTTAAGCTTATTAGGCTGAGGCTTAGGCTCAGGCTTAGGCTCAGGCTTAGGTTAGGATTTAGGCTTAGGCTTAGCCGTAGTTTCAGCGCTTTATCCATCACATTCCAGCCCGGCGAGCGCGTACAGCTTGACATCCCCGACGCCAAGTCCTATAAAAGAACGCTCCGATCGGGTGGTGAACAACTCTTCAAAATCTGTCCTAATGAAGATGACTTGAGCCCGAAATGCACGCATTGGACACAGGTTTGACAGTTTAAAAATACAGTGGCTTGTGAATTTAGAACGGAAAGCTACTGTCAACTACATCAAAAGTCAGAGGTTTTAAAAATGGGACTCTGGTCATCGAGAAGGTGGCGGCAAGCGATTTGGGGAGCTATTGGAGCCCGGAAGTTGAGATGATTGTTAAAGAGGTAAGCCTAAGCCTAAGCCTAAGCCTAAGCCTATGCCTAAGCCTATGCCTATGCGGAAGCCTGTGCCTAAGCTTGCTCTCGGTGTTACCTTAAAGGGCTAGTTAAACTTTCAGAGCTTGGGCTGGTACCTTGGGAAACTATGGACGTAGGCACAGTGCGCCCGAACAGTCCCCATTACGGCAGCTATTAGAGATCGGGGGAATGAGAGAGGCGCAGACACAAAAACGCAGAGAGGGTTCGACTCTTGGCCGCGGAAATTCTTTGTTTTATTGGCTGAACTAGCCCTTTAAGCTCATTTTCAGCGCTTCCCCGATGGATCGCCAAAAATTGCCGTTAATGGACCAGTGATAACCCTCCTTCTAAAAGAAAATTAATAATTTGTAATTATCGCATATCGTGGCTAAAATAAATGTATTGTACAAGGCTTTTCCTTCGTTTTTGCGATCGGTGAACCACAGTATATTTTTCTAGTAAAGGCAGAGAAATTCGAAATTTTGGAATCTTGATCTCCCGACCCCTGAATCACAAAGGGCTCTCAGTATTTCCGGTTGCCAGCCGCGTCAGCTGTTTATAGAGTCCTATTTTTTGGTCTCGAATTTCCACCAGGCCCTATATAAGCTCGTGAAGCCGCGTAGAAGCTATTAAACAACGAAAATGCGGAGCTGTTTTGTGCTTTTCTGCTTCGCTTCAGCGGCGATGGCTTCAATGGCCATTATTCCAGTTAAGGTATGCCTAGATACAGCGAGAAATTAAAAACGGGAAGGAGAACACTTGGAAATTCAGCTAGGCCAGCGAGTGCAAATCGACATCGCCGGCGCCAAGTCGTTCAAGCGCTCCTACGCAACTGGGGTTGAGGAGACGTTCAAGATTTGTGCGGATGAGAAGGACCAGAGCCCGAAATGTACGCATTGGAGTGATAAGGTGGGCTTAGTACGCTAAGTCAAGGTTAAGCTTAGGCTTCGGCTTAGGCTTGGGCTTAGGTTTAGGCCTAGGTTATGCTTAGGTTTGGGCTTAGGCTTAGGCTTAGGCGTACGGTTTAGCTTACTTTGACGCTTCACCTAAGCCTTGATTCAGAACGGAAAAGTGCTGACGGAAACCTCACGCATCCGTGGCTTCAAAAATGGCACGCTCGTGCTTGAGAAAATTGTCCTGGAAGACCTGGCGAACTACTGGAGCCCCGAGAAGCAGAACATCGAGAGCAAGGTTAGAAAATTCAGACAAATTTTAAACTGTTTTTAGCATTCGGATGGAAGCGTGTCGTCCGTCCTGGGACCAGTCTACAGCCTGTCGCTCAGCTAAATTATTTAATTAATCTGAAAATTCTAATTCATAAATCGTAAAAAATGTTTATCCACATCTACATCGAAAAAACCTCATTTTTCTGACTTTAACGGTATGTACAGTGCTGATTCCGCTAGTGTGCTCGGGATGTTTTTGCCGGCTCACTCTTTTTCGGCTCCGCCCTGTAGACCTTGACATAACTTCCTCTCAAGCCCATATTTTTTCAGCGGTTCTTCGGCAGTGCCGTCAATGGGCCAATGTTTATAGCTCTGTTTTTTTTTGTTCTCCAATTTCCGCTCGTCCCTAAATAAGCTAAAGATACCTCATAGGCGTTATCAACCACAAGACTTCACTTTTGCCTTTTTCCTTAAACAAAATACCCAAGTTCAGCTAGGCGAGCGCGTCCAAATCCGCATTGAGGGCGCCAAGTCGTTCAAACGCACCTTCCAGACCGGTGTGGAGGAGTTCTTCAAGATCTGTGACGACGAGAAGGACTCGAGCCCGAAGTGTACGCATTGGAATGACAAGGTTGGCTAGGGACGCCTGGGATAGGCGAAGCCAAGGTTAAGCGCAGGCCTATACTTAGGCTCATGCCTAAGCTTTGGCCTACAAAGAGTGGTTCTCCTAAAAGCCACACCTTGTTAACGTCAACTTATCTTCAGGACGGAAAAGTGCTGACGGATACTACACCCGTCCACGGCTTCAAAAATGGCACGCTGGTGATTGAAAAAGTGGACTTCGGAGACTTGGCCGAGTACATGAGCCCGGAGCAGCAGTTTATCGAGACTAAGGTTGGAGAAATTCGTGTGATCCATATTCCTTACCTTATTAATAACCAAAAAAAAGCTATTTAAATTGCTTTTAGCATGTCGATGGAAGTGTCTCGGGCGTCCTCGGGCCCGTCGACACCGTGTTTCTTCCTAAACCGGAAAAATAAACTGTACGGCTTGATAAAGTTTCTTGATGACCAAACGCAGTCAATGTACACAATCTTTTGACCCTGTTTTTTCTCGTCTCCAATTACGGAAGTGGCTATTTTGGAAAGGGGCTGATTGATCCTTGGATAGGCGAGTGACCTCGAGATAGTCGCTATATAAGCTGGGAGCAGTGGTCGGTTGATAGCTGCCGGAAAATGAGAACCGTTCTGATCCTGTGCTTGGTGGTGGCCGCTGTGGCTGGACAGGCCGCTCTCGCTCAAGTTAAGGTAAGGAAAAGATAAGCCTACGCCTAAGGCTCTCTTTCTCTCTCTCTCTCTCTCTCTCTCTCTCTCTCGCACGTCCATTTATCCCTTCCAGATCGGCGAATCCACCACCGTCGACTTGGCCGGCGCGAAGTCATTCAAGCGCACCCTCCGCAACGGTGACGTCCACCTCTTCAAGGTCTGCGACGATGTGAAGGACCGAAGCCCCAAGTGCACCCGGTGGACCGATTCAGTAAGAAATTCCAGAGCACTTCCTCTTTTTGCCCCTTCTTCAAAAATTCACTTCCATCGTTTGCCCTTCAGAAGGGCAAAGTCCTCTCCAACACCTCGCCGATCCACGCGTTCAAAAACGGCACTCTGGTGATTGAGAAGGTCACCAAGGAGGATCTGGCCAGCTACACGAGCCCTGAACTTGACGCGGCTGCGCTGAAGGTAAGCAGGGCCCAAATGAAATGACTACGGTTCTAATTCATTGATTTAAATGATTTTAGAAGGGGTCGGCAGGCGTTGCCGTTTCCGGACCTCAGCTTTCGCTCGTCGAATGATATTTATGCACTATTATTGATGCTTACTAAAAATAATGCTCAGATAATTAATAAATGGTTTTGACTATCTCGCTTACCTTAAGGCTTGGGTTTGGGCTTAGGCTAAGCTTAAGCTTAGGCTTAAGCCTTTGACGATCATAACGTATTTTGTAGTTTGCCTGCCCTTTCGACAATTTTGATCCAAGACTCAAGTTCGACAGGCATTCGGAAAACAGTAGTATTCGACGTTTGTTTTTGCGGGCTTTCCCGCATTACCATTCCCTTTATCCCCCACTAACAATCACAGAAAAATTTTGTGACTCAATGTGTCCCGACTAAAACGAAATGGATAATCCATGCCGGGAATCGGTTTGTGCTCACGGCTTTTCGATGGTTTTTCATCTGCGTTTCGTCTGGCAGTGATTCAAATTTCAGAGTTAGGGATGAATGGAAAGAACAAGAAAGGAAAAAGGGAAAAATGGGGGGTTTTATTAAAAGCCAATGTAAGTAAACATATAAAAAGCGTGGTGGCAATGGAAAAAAGTAAGAAGAATAAAATAGAAAATAAAAAGGGAAGGCATTCAAGCTAGTTTCGGGAATATGTCCAAATTTTGACTGTCGGGACTTTCGCTGCCGGTATTTTCGCCTTTGAATCTCTAAAAATAGTTTCAAATTGTAAGAATATGTGGTAAACATCAAAAGTTATAAACTAAAAACTTAAAGTAAAAATAGTAAAAAGAGCAAAAATAATCGTCGTGAACTTTTCCAAATCCCGTCATTTCTATACCCAAAATACCCCGGATCATTCCGCATCCGCCTGTCTGCACACGCAACCGTCTAATACCACATCGGATTAGAAAAAATAAAATCCTAAATAATAGTTTCTACCATTCTTGAATCCATCCCCCGCCTCGCAGTATAATCCGCCTCAACTTGTCCCGAAAAATGACTCAAAAATGAATGCGGAAATGCGGACAGAGCGCTGGTCAGCCGGTGGGGGAAAGTGACACTGATCCCTGTCTATAGGCGCGTTATGTACCCGGGACCGGGGAAATAAAGAAAAAAATAGCGCAAATCTTTGGACAGACCACTTGGATGTCTGCTTCAATATTGCGGAAAACACCCATCATGAAAATGGGCACAAAATATGGAAAAATTGTTAGAACTTGTGTCTGGGATCAAGGAATTTGGACGGTTTTCAGAAAAATCGCAACGTATACGGTAGCTCCGGAGTACGGTCGGGCTAACAAACCGTAGCTTTTCATATATGGTAATTATGGAGCACTGCAGTGACTGCGGTATATCGGTGCTTTTGCATTATCGGGGGGGAGAGAGTCAACTTTTTTTCTCTATTTTCTTTAGTATCCATTTTTTTCGAAAACGGATAGAGCAAGTGCTTTTAAGTATTTGTTTAGTATCCCCAAGTGCAAAAACCATACTAATTTCAATTAAAAATACAAAAAATATTGAATTTTCGGCAAAAATTTTGAATTTTTTTGAGAAATTATTTGAATTTTTGCTACTAAAAAAATCGGTGGATTTGGATCAAAGCAGTATTGAAATTTTCCCACCCCCCCCCCCCGCGTAAACGGTAAAGAACCTAGTATTTTTATTTTTCCAGGGGTTGGAATCTAGGTCATTGCCATTAATTTTAATTTCCATACAAATTTAAATACCTCGATTACCCCAAAAAGTCGACATTTCCTAAACTAGACAAAATGCGGCAGCTGCAGCAACTGCTGCTCCTTCTCGGCTCCCTCCAGCCGATCGCGTGGACCTACCCGATGGCCAGGGTACGGTAACCAGGGACTACGGTATTTGGGTTATCCTTTAGAGCGTGGATCGATCGGCTGATTGGCCGGGAGAAATGACCGACCACGAGATGTTGGCCATGCAGTTTTGGATGGCCGTTGGCTGTGGGGTTAATACAAAAGAGTATAGGGCTCATTTTAGTGGCCATTTGGGTGTGCCTTTGCGGGTTCGTGTCGCTGTGCCTTGGCTTGTACTTCTTTCGAAAGTAAGTTGGCTTGTTTTACTATGGGATCGACTGGTTTTAACTACTTTTTCGGCTCTGGTAGGTTAGCGGGGGGAAGTTTCTGCTCCGCCCCCCCCCCCGCTAATGGACTAGTACCTTTTTCGTTTCTTTCAGGTGGGGCCGCGAGACTGCTCTCGGTCTACCGGCCGCCACCGCCCCCATCCCGAACATCTTCCTCAATTACAACACCGCCAACGAAAAACTGTCCGGCCGTAGCCAAGCGGAATCCGGGGCCTCAACCCGCCCTCTACAAAAGCAAGATGCCGCCGAGAAAAGCGCCGAGCCGCCCAGCGAGAAGGAGCACCACGAGCCGGACAAGCCGAGGAAGTCGGGCAGCAAGGAGAGCAAGCCAACATCACCGATAACCCCCGCGGCTGCCGCGAAGAAGACCGCCCCGCTGCCGCGCGTCGCCAAGACCGCGCCGCACAAGACCATTTTCCGCGCCGCGGAGCTGCCGCCGCCCACGTGGGAAGGGTCCCAGGATGTGCCATGCTTTCCCAAGACCGTAGGAATGCAACAATAGGGAAAATGCCAAAATCCCGACATTCAAAATGCCGAAGTGCAGCACGATACGCAACGCGTCACCTAACGCAGCGCAGAGCAGCGTGATAAGCATGCGTTACGTGTCGCGGTACAAATCATCTTGAAAACCGGTCCCTTGCCTACCCCTTAAAAACCTGAGTTCTAACTTTCAGGCTGCTCCTCTTCCGGCCACTGGCTACGGTAGCCCGCAAGACAAGGAGGAGCCTCATGTGCCAAACGCCAGCAAGGAGCTACCGAAAGAAAATCGCGACCCAACCCTCGATCAAGCCGAAACTAAAGGTAGCGTCACCTTTCCACCCCGACTGCAACAAGTTTAGCCAACCGCACGCAGTCGTCGAAGGGGTCACGCAAGCGCGGTACGAGCAGCTACAAGCCGCCCGTCAGCAAGATACGCAACGTGCCAAATGATGGTGAACTTGTTGAGGCTGTGTCTGAGATTGATTTTAGACATCACCCAGACCTCGCAGAGCCACCACAGGTCGTATGTGCCGCTGCGGTTGGCCCCGACCATTGGTAGAGGGTCCTAAGGATTTCTATAAACTATTCTCGGCTCTTCATACGCTGCTCCAACGGGTTCGCAGGAGAACGCGCAGCAGAACGGGGATGGGATGGCCCCGGCGATGCTCACCAATGAGGTAAGCCTAGGTCGAAGCCTAAGCCGACGCCTGAGTTAAAGCCTTAGCCTACGCCTAAGCCCAAGCCTAAGCCTAAGCCTAAGCCTAAGCACATGCCTAAGCCTAAGCTCGTCGTTCTAGCAGCCACCAGCGATCCCTGGAATGGCCCAGGGCAGCTATCGGGGCAGCTACCGAGGGCCCGCCCCCACCGAGCCGAAACCGAATGAGAGTCCGCACGAGGTAGGCCGTGTGAAAATTTTGGATTAAAGGGACTAGGAAGCTTCAAAATCGCCCCTTTCTTTTGCCTAGGTCTCGACAGCTAAGTACTCGAGCAAAATACGCGGTGTATCTGACGCTTCCCAACCCTTAAAATGAGTTAAACGCACCTAGTTCATCTCCCATCTCAAATTTCCAGCAACCGAACGAGCCCCAAAAAGATGAGGAGCCGCAGCTCCCCCCGCAGTCGGCCTACATGCCCGTGGCGGCGGCCGACCTTGCTGCCGGCGGCGTCCACTCGATGTACATGCCTGCCGCGAAGAAGGCATAGACCCCCGATACACACCCACACAGCCACTGATCCACGTCTCTTTAATCTATTCATCATCGCAATCCAATTCTCCTTCGCACGACAAATGACACTCGCTTGTGGCCTATGCTTTTTGGTGTGTCTGATGAATAAAGCATTCAGATTGTTGACTTGGGCATGGATAAGGTGGATAAACAAAAAAACTAAGAATTTTCTCTCCCCCTCTCTCTCTTCTCTCTCCCCCTCTCTCCCTCGCTCTCTCTCTCTCTCTCTCTCTCTCTCTCTCTCTCTCTCTATCTCTAACTCGTTAACTCACACGCTTCTTCAAATGTTTGTATTAGGCGTTAAAAAAGGTTAAAAAATAAGGCTGTGGTTCAGTTTACCCCCCAGCGGACCCCACATACCGTATCTCGGCTCCCTGTTCATCTATAGGTGTGTAAAGTATACCAAAATACTCGCCAAAGCAAGTCGAGCATTTTGGTATACTTTACACACCAGTAGATGCACAGGGAGCCGAGATACAAAAGTTGGGTGTTGACTGGGGGGGTAAACTGGACTCTTACCGAAAATAAGCTGTGATCGATTAAGCATGACTTGATATGAATTTCGCATTGATTTGACTCGAATTCAATACAACATTCTGAGTGACCGTCAGATGAGGCGGTTGCTCCTACTCGCCCTCCTGGCCTCAATTGCCGACCCGTTTTCTGTATGCTAATTGCAACAAACGAATATCGACCCTTTAGCTATCTGACCTCCTTGACGATGATGGAAGAGGAGAGGATGATGAGGAATACTTCATCTGGGTCTGATCGGCCATCTTAATGAAGCGGCTCTGTTTTTAGCTGCTCGCCTTGGTGCCGCTGATCCCGGGCGCCCTCTCGATTCTGGTCATCTGCGCCGTGTTGATTTGGATCACTTCGAGGTATGACATTTGACGAAGGACCGCGCGTTCAGCCCTTTAGCCATGCCAAGAAAAAGCGGAGGAGGCACAAAATTATGGGGGCGCCTCGAAAGGAGCCGGACTCAGCTGCAAGTACTCCCTCAAGGAGTCCGGACTCGAGTCGAGCCACCATACGCTCGAAAATCGTTTCCGAAGCTTCGAGGCGGAGGAATCAAGCTCCAAGGGTTGGGTTGATTCTAGGTTATAAAATTTGGTTCTTTCGCGTTACCGAGGGGGATTTGTCGGAGGACGAACTTTTTTTCTTTGATCGCCAATTCTTCTAATATAAATATTGGAATTGTGTCTGACGGCCTTATTAAACTACGTTTTTTTATTGGAACATACAAAAATCTTTTTTCGCTCAAAAAAGCTTCCCCCGATAATGGAAAAGCACCTTTCTAAATCATTTAAATATATTTAGTCGAGAAACCCACCAAGAGCTGCTATGAAAAAACCTCGGGATACGGCTCGGCCGCCAGAAGAGGTGGAAAAGAAGAAGAGCTCGGCAGGAGAGGCTTCTCGTGCTCCACTTCCGAGTAATCAGCCAAAGCGCAAACCTTTTTGCAAGGTATCTTTGGAAACTTGTTAGGTGAAGATTGAGGCGTGATAACAGAAAAATCCGAGAAATCTGCCGAATTCACTCATTAAGGACAACCCCACCGAGATCAGCGGCTCCAAGGAGGACGCCCAAGCGCCACCTGCTCCTCCCCAGCCTCTTCCCCCTCCTACCTCAACGAAACAAACGGAGCGGAAACCTTTTCGCCAGGTAAGGACGGTCTATTTTCAAAATTACAAAAACAAATACAAAATTAGCAGTTTTATGAAAAACCACAAAAAATATCGAATGTTCGATCAAAAATGCCTAATTTTAACTTTTTGAGATTTTTTAGATTGTTGCCGCGTGCAATATCATCAAATTTTACTATAGAACTATCAAACTACTAAGCAGACGTGGGAAAATCAAAGTTCATACCTTTACCATCACTTTCAGGACAACCGCACCGATCTCAGCAGCTCCAAGGAGGACAGCCATCACTCTCAAAAGCTAGAAATACCGGGTTCATTTCAGACATTTTACTAGGCTCCGATTTAGTGACGGTAAACACTACGCAAGCTTCCTTCGAACCATTGAAGCGAGCGGCCGGGACTAGGGAGAAGCTGGTCGGCACTCCGGTTTCGAAAAATCCTCTACCCAATCCGCCGCTTGTTGCTGTCACTCCAGGTAGGTAGCTTACCCGATGTTTGTTGAAGCCCGTTGGAGCCTAAAAAACAGCTTAGGAAGCTGAAGCTCAAACTCTTTTCCAGAAGCCGTCGATGCGCCAAAAGTGGAGGCAAAGATTCAGACACCCTCTTCGCCGGGAACCATTGTGGTTAGGAGATTTTTCTCTCGAATTCTCACCCAAATTCCAGGCCCAACCATCGACTGATGGGTTCGAGAAGAAGCCGGAAAACTTGGAGGTAGACCTAAGCCGAAGGCTGCGCCTAGGACAAACCCAGATAACTTGAATACAACAAAAAACATTCAAAACTATATTCTTAGAATCGGCCCGAAAAACTGCCGGCTACAGTGACGTGTGGTGCGTGAATTTGAATATTTAAAGGGGCAGGAAAGCCAGGAAATTTCTTAAACCTTTTTATTTCTTTTAAAAGCTTAGAAAATTCAATTAAAATCTGATTAAAAAATCTTATAACCTCATTTAATTTTTTAAACACCTAAGTATCCTAAGATATCGAGCTTCGAATGGCTATAATGGTAGAAATTTTAAGAAGTCATTTAGGAAAAGCTATCCTAACTTTTTTCTTAACCCGTAAGATTTATAATTTATCATTTCTCTCACCTAACACCTGGTCCCTCCCCGCGTGCGAACAATGGAACAGCCCTTCCGCGCCATAAGTCAACATATGACAGGTCCCCGGCCCCTGCTGTCCCCTCATAGCCCCCTTCCCCGCATCACCACCCGTCGGTCCCGTGGTGTAGCGGTTAGCACTCAGGACTCTGAATCCTGCGACGGGAGTTCAAATCTCCCCGGGACCTCAACGTTTTGCTTTTTGAGGGAATGGAAATTTTAACCTTTGTCTTTTCTGCCGCAGTCTATTTTTCATTGGTAAAATTTCTTAGAATCTCGTGAATCTCGCGTAGAGATTTCCGATACACCGAAGGGGAGTGACAAGACCGAGTCGCCCAGCTCTAACGTCGAGGTGAATTGTTCTATCTTTCAAAGCTTTACTATCCGGTTTTTAGGATCACGAACTTGTGAATAACGGGTCCCCAGCCGATACTCAGCCAGAGAAGCTGCCAAAGTCGACTTGCGATACCCCGAAGGCCCCGTCATCACCCGGATCTGCCTCTTTCATGAATATTTGAAGATGCCCCAGCCACACATTAACAGCTACCTCAATATCGATTGTGTTTTACGTCACGAGACTGATACTTTTGATATACACACATATCTTTATTTGGATTGGAATAAAGTATGCCCGCAGAGCCATTAATACGTATAAGAAATCGCGCGTTTCACGCACCAAATAGACTCACCTAATTTCAATCCGAATCCTGAATTTGAAAAGCACCATCTTCTCTGCTGAGGACCATTTTTCGGCTGCACGCAATGAAGCCGCTGCTCCAACTGCTCATCCTCGCCACGCTGACCGTCATCGCCGGGGCGCAGGCCGAATTCTTTCAAGATCTCGTGAGTCTGAAGAAGTAGATGAAGATCAAAATGGCTTGTTCAGCTCCAGCCACGCGACTCGACAGGGCGTCGCGTCAAGCGTTACGGCTACGGTGGACCCAGCTATATTGGGGAATTCATTGGTGAGAGATCTCACTCTCTCTAACTTTCTCTCTCTCTCTCTCTCTCTCTCTCTCTCTCTCTCTCTCTCTCTCTCTCTCTCTTCAATTAAGGTATTTTAGGCCTCTGCTGCTCTTGCATCTTCCTCGCCATTTGTTGCATCGGCTTCATCTACTGCTATATAAGGTAAGGGGTTAACATCAACCCCTTTTCCACAATCGCCTCTGCTAATCTCCCCAAACGCATTTGCCCAGGTACGTCAACGAAGGGACGCCGATCTACGTCAGCTCGCGTAGTGAGGGTCCCTCATCCCAACCCACTCGCATCGTCGTCACCCGGATTTGATAAGGTGAGAAACTCTGATTTTCACCTATCCTCTGAATTCAGAGCCACTTGAAGCCTCATCTCCTCGTCTCCAGCCGAAAACGAACATAATTCCTATTCCTCGTTTTGTTATTTCGATGCCATACTGTAAAATAAACATTTTCGAACCGGAAATCCAATCAAATCCAAAGGGATGCATTTGAATTAACAGCATTCATAAAAATGAGCCTTCACCTCCGGCTGCTCCTCCACTTGGCCGCGATCGGCTCGATCTATTGTGCTACCATCCCGAATCGGGATACGGTATGCAAATCTGAGAACTCGCGAAATGTTTCGTTTTAAAGCGCCAAGCCCGCAACTACTCGGAAGAAGATGCCGCCGTCAACGGGCTCAGGGTCTTCTTCATCTTCATGTTGCTGTGTCTTTGTAAGAGAGCTTTTCTACTGCTTAACTTTTTTCTGGTTTAAGTCATCTGCTTGCTGACGCCGGCCTGCTATGGGGGTCACTACTACTACTGCAATCATTATTGGTGGGGTAATCAAGAAGAAACCTAAGCCTAAGCCTAAGCTTAAGCTTAAAGGGATGCCGACGGCATAGTCAATCGGTTACGCGCTGGAAAGAAATGTCTCTACGCCTCTCCCCTGGGCGCGCTCTCTCACCTGTTGGCTACTTGCCAATTTGTTGATGGTGGGGGGGATCGACACATGCTGTCGACAGCCCTTTAAGCTGGTCAAATTCTACGCCTAGGCCTATGCCTAGGTTTAAACCTAAGCCTAAGGCCAAGTCTAAGCCTAAGCCTGAGCCTAAGCCTAAGCTGGTCAAAGTCTAAGACTAAGCCTAAGCTTGAGCCTAAGCCAAAGTCTATGTCCTGAGCCTAAACCACCGTATCCATCCATGTTCAGCCCATCCGGCCCGGTGGTGGTGGCCGAACCTGTTGGCCAGCCGGTCTACGTCCAATACCCCCCGCCGACATACGCCAACTATCCTCCACCCCCACAATACGCCAATGCTCCTCCTGCTCATCCTCCCCCTCCTGCTCCTCAGCAGCCATCGACCCGCCAGCAACAGCCCCAGCAGCATCAGCCCAGCTCCTCCGATCGCTAGTTTCCACCAACAAAACCCCCGAATTGTACCCCGTCCCTTTCCCTGCTGTCCGCGATTTGAATAAAAGTCTTACAAGGGAATTTTGAGACAAATTTCGGCTAAACCGCAGATAACCCCCCCAGCCGACCCCCATCTACCGTATCTCGGCTCCCTGTTCATCTACAAGTGTGTAAAGTATACCAAAATACTCGCCACAGCAAGATGAACATTTTTGTATACTTTATACACCTGTAGATGAACAGGGAGCCGAGATACAACAGTTGGGTGCCGGCTGGGGGGTTTTACTGGAGTCTTACCCAAATTTCATTCCGAGTTTTGCATTTGAAATTTTGCATAACCCTCTGCCAGGGTCTTTCGCGAAGTGAACCCGTCCAAACTCCGAAACGATGGGCTGCGGGCTGGGCTACGCTACGCTCCTTTGGCTATCATTTTTTGCCATCGTCGTCTACGGCGCCGAGCCTCGCCCCGACCAGCACAGCTACCAGCAGTACGCAGATGATCACTATCACCCCACTACCACAGAAGCGACTTTCGTTCGTCCGTTCCAGCGCCAATGAATTATAGTTTTTGCAGGTTACTTCGGTCTGGAACACCTTCTTCTTCATTTTTGGGGGAATCTCCTTGATTGGTGAGCTTGGTGGACCAGAGTGCCTACGCCTAAGCCTAAGCCTAAGCTTAAGCCTAAGCCTAAGCCTAAGCAAAGGCTAGGCCTAAGCCTAAGCAAAGGCTAAATATATGCCTAAGCCGATCCTTAGTCCGATTTTTAGTCGCCATTTATACGCCCTGCATCTGCTGTTTCGGGATCATCTTCATCATAGGACGGTGGGTGCCTTCTATCTCAGGCCTTACTAGGGAATGTTTTGGGGCGGATATCGGACCCTGTTATGTGAATATGTGCATCTTGCAGAGCTCGACGAGACGAATCGAATGATGTAACTTTTAGCTGCGGATACCTTTTTTTAATAAAGTTACAGCGGTATAAAGGTTGCTCCCGATACCTTCATAAGCCCTCCCCACACCCCAACCGCCGTGCTCTGGTAGTCTAGCGGGTTAGTGGTCGGCGTCCGGGGATGGTGACGAGGGTACGGATCCGTTCACGATTTTATTTTTTGCTTTTCGGTCGAAAGCTTCGATTTTGCATCCCGAAGGACTACATTAACTTTTTTTTCATTTTTCGAATCATATCCCGCATTAAATAAACATAGGCGGAACACAGAGGATTTTTCGAGCTATGGTCATGGCTTGGTCATGGTGAGATCTTGGTGTGGGTGAAACTCCAAAACACCAATGAATACTGTCACCAACTTATTTGGTGTGGGTGCTGGAGATAAAAAATGAAAAAAAAAGTTAATGTAGTCCTTCGGGATGCAAAATCGAAGCTTTCGACCGAAAAGCAAAAAATAAAATCGTGAACGGATCCGTACCCTCGTCACCATCCCCGGACGCCGACCACTAACCCGCTAGACTACCAGAGCACGGCGGTTGGGGTGTCGGGAGGGCTTATGAAGGTGTCGCGAAAAACTTTAAACCGCTGTGACTTTATTAAAAAAAGGTATCCGCAGCTAAAAGTTACATCAAACGATTCGTCTCGTCGAGCTCTACAAGATGCACATCCTCACATAGCTGGGTCCGATGTCCGCCCGAAAACATTCCCTTAGGGCGAAAGCGATTGAAAATACGTCACCCCGATAAAAGAAAAGCACCTAAAGCTAATTTGCAGGATGATCGATGAAAACTCGAGGCCCCGGGTTATGCCCTGGTTGACTCCACAGCCAGCGCCGGGCCAGTCACCTGCCACTACAGTAACCTGCCCAACTCCCTCACCAACTACAGCCATTAGCCCAGCTCCCTTGCCAAAGACCGTCTAAAATCCGATTGACTGATGCCATTATCCATTTCTATTCTGTGTGTGCTTGAAATAAATATTCTAACTGCCTTCATTGTGAAAAAACTGGGTTCGAGTGCGGTTTACCCCCCAGCCGGCACCCAACTTTTTTATCTCGGGTCCCTGTTCTACTACAGTGTGTCAAGTATGCTAAAATGTTCGTCTTGCCCTGGCGAGTATTTTGATATACTTTACACACCTGTAGCTGAACAGGGAGCCGAGATACGGTAGGTGGGGAGAGAGGGGAGAGAGGGGAGATCAACTGCACTTAAGCCAAAAATTGTTCTTATTAAACCTCGAAAGGTAAATTTACTTAACAAATTTCCATCCATGTGTTTGCATAATTTTGCATGACCGTCTGCCAAGATTTTTCGTAAGAAGAAGCCGTCAAATCTCCGACACGATGAGCTACCGGCTGGGCTACGCCACGCTCCTCTGGCTGTCACTGTTTGCCGTCGTCTACGGCTTCGCGAACCGCTATGGGGAGCGACACTGGCGGGAGGACACGACCACAACCACCACAACCCCTAAGGTACTCACCCTTAGTTCTGAATTAAAAGTTTTTGCAGCCTGATTTGTACCTGGAAACCGCCCTCCAGATTGCCGCGTCTATCGTGGGATGTGGTGGGTTTTTCGAGCCGTACAGCGCTAGAGAAAGGATATACCGGTGTCGTCTACCCACAGATATTTTTCTAGTCTGCTGTTACGGGCCCTGCGTACTCATTTGCCTGATCGTCTACTGCTGCGCTAAGTGGGTTCTAGAGATTTTCACTTACTGTATCTTGTCACCCCTATGTGCTAGGGAGTTCTAAAGTACACCAAAAACTTTGCCTTATTACGAAGAGTAAGAATTCATGTAGTTTAGTTTGTAAAAATAATGGTGAAACTGCAGATACTCTTGCTGTATCTCGGCTCCCTGTTGGTCTACAGGTGTCTAAGGTATATCAAAACGTTCGTCTTGTTTACTTTTATTATATACTTCTTATTTTGATATACTTTACACACTTGTAGACCAACAGGGACCCGAGATACAAAAGTTGGGCGCCGGCTGGGCGGTATCTGCACTCCTACCTTTGTGCCAGTATAAAAAAAACTTTCGTTACAGGATGGGCGCTGAAAACGCGAGACCGCGTACGGTGCCCGTGATGTCGCCACAGCCCCCGCCGGCAACTCCCCGCCCGCAGACCGTCTAAAATCCAATCCACTCAGTTCATCATCCATTTCTATTCTCTGTGCACTCGGAATAAATGGTACTAGTCTCTTGACGTTTTTGATTACCTCAATTATTTTTTAAATGCCAAAAGCGGTCAAAAACAATTTGTAAACATTCTACTAAAATTACGCCAGATAAAATGAGCATAGCCAAAAATTAAAACCTTAACAATCTCGAATTTGCATCTAAGCTTTTACATGAGGATTTTTCCTGCCACCGTGCCAGCTTTTTTCCGGAAGCGTAGCCGCCAAACCTCCAATACGATGGGCTGCCGGCTGGGCTACGCTACGCTCCTCTGGCTGGCCCTATTCCCCGTTGTTGTCCACGCGGTACCTTGCTCCACCTCATGATTCTCACCCTGTAGCACCAGTTGGCCCTCATTGAAGTCTGCTTCTTCGCGTTTCTGTTCCTGGGAGTGCCGAGTTGGTTTTGAAGAGGCAAGAGGAGTACCAGAAAATTTTTAGTCCTCTGCGTCTTGCCCGGCCTGTGCATTGGATTGATCGTCTATTTCGCCGTTAGGTGCGCACTTTTAAATCTATCTAATTTTTCTAATTTTTCAATATGTTTCTAAATCGTTCTATTATTCCTAGACGTGTAAACTTTACAAATTTTTATCGAAAAATTCCAGAAGTTACGAGAATTTCGACTTTTTTAAAGTTTTTGAAGTTTTAGATAGTTTTTCTAGTTTAAATCCAGTTGTAGATTAATAAAAACTGTTAACAACCTTCTGTCAACTTACGAGGCCTTTCTAGACTTATACAAAAGTTCGCCCCACCCCCGATAATGCAATAGAACCAAACCCATAGCAATACCTTGTCGCCGCCTTTAAAGAAATGGGGCCACAAATGGAGAAATTTCAGCCTGGCCAACCAGCCGACGACGTTCGTACAGGTGACGGGGTCCCAGACACCTCCGACACCGTCGCCCGCTGCTTGCCCACCCACCAAACAGCCCCACGCATCTCAACCGTACGCAGCTCGACCGGCTCCAGCTTCTTCGGCGGCACCATCTACAATGGCTGTTTAGGAAACACTTTTAAATTACCCCGTTGTCCATTTCTATTCTCTGTACGCGTCGAATAAATGTTGCAGCTCGAAAATTTGCATGAAAGTGGTTGTCTGTGTTTTTGTGGGTTTTCGTCACAGCTTCCACGACACGATGGGCTATCGGCTGGCCTACGCGACGCTCCTCTGGCTGTCACTATTTGCCGTCGTGGTCCACGGTACCGCGCAACGGCAAAACTATCCCGATGATAATCAGGTAACACTACAGGGTGCTTTTACATTATCGGGGGAGCTGAGAGGGGGAACCTATGTTTAACTAATGTTAATTGGCTTTGTAGTGTTTTTAGCAAAACGGGAGTATATTTCAGATGTAAAACTAACTAAAACCGTTTTAAAAAACGAATTTTTGGCGAGCATCCGCCAAACAGTTTAGAATCGTTTCCGCTTTTTATATTAGTAAAATTGGGTACTAAGGAGAAAAGTGAGTCTCTCTCCCGGTCACCCCTTTCCCCCGATAATGCTAAAGAACCCACTACACCATAAAGCGCTATCAAATCTAGATAGGTATAGGCTAGAATCTAGCGCGTATTGTCACATTCTTTCAGACAACCAAAGACTCGCATGAGCTCATCAACGTGATCCCGCTTCTTCTCGTGTTTTGTGAGTACCAGCCCTTGCTTTCAATTCCTCTCCGAATTTCCAGGCATGGTGTGCGGAACATTTTGCCCATGTCTCCTCTGTGGCCTTATCGCTTATTGCCTGATCATGCTGTGGGTTAATGCATTTCGGAGCTTTTGCATTATCGGGGGGGGGGTGTATTGGACAATCGGGGGCTTACTACTTAATTATTTTCAATAAACTTTTACTGCCCTATAACGAAATATAACCCATTTCTATAGAATTTTACACATTTCTAGATGGAAAAAATCAGTCTTCATATCTAAAATTTGTTTAATCATTTTTATAATTTTCTAGAAAACAAAAACTACTAAAAACACTACTAAGATGTACCTTATATTATCAACGGAGAGGTGTAGGCGGAAAAACAAAGAGAGAGAGAGAGCGCGCGAGAGAGAGAGAGAGAGATAGAGATAGATAGAGAGCTAAATGTGTGCTAACTGTTACGTAAATTTCTTGCAGCTACGAAAGAGGGGACCCTACGTACGAGACAGGCCGCGGCTGGTGGCCAACTCCGCCGCAGCCGCCCCAGATTACCGTCATCACGGCCGCCGCGCCGCCACCAGCGCCATCCGCGCCACCCGCGCCGCGCGCACCGATAGTGCCGAGCGCCCCGTCCGCTCCGCCCGCGACGCCTCCTCCGACGCCCCCTCCGACTCCCGCTGCGCTCCAACCGACTGCTTACTGATGACGGCGTCACGTAGAAGACTCGAAAACATTGCCCTTCCCTGTATTTGCCGTGTGATTTCCTTTCCGCTTCGATAAATCCTACCTTATATAACTTTGGCGTGTCTCTCTGTGTGTCTGCATCCGGGAGGGCTAATTTGCATAATGCGAAATAAATAGAAGTTTCCCCATTCGGCTTAAGTGCAGTTTACCCCCCAGCCCTAACTTTTCAGCCATACGTTCTATTAATGCGCCGAGTATCTCAAAATGTTCGCCGTGGTCGAATTACTATAAGAAAGTTGTTTTCTTATATCAAAAATTGTTAGAAAAATTTTTATAACAATTATAAGTCTGGGTTTTCTTTAGTTAATTTTTGCTGTTCCAAAGTGAGTTTTCGTATCTCGGCTATCTTTTGACGTACAGAGCTGTCAATAGTACGAAAATGTAGCTCTTGCTCTGGAGAATAAGCCTACAGTACGTTTGAGCCGAAAAATTAGCGGAAAATAAAAATATTTGAGTTTTAGACTCCTAGTACATCGAAGCATAGCGGCTTAATCTTTTCAACTTTCAAAATCTTGTAAAAAATTTTTTAGCAATTTTTGCCGCAAGAAAACAACTTTTTGATAGTAATTCGACCACGGCGAACATTTTGAGATACTCGGCGCATTAATAGGACGTATGGCTGAAAAGTTAGGGCTGGGGGGGTAAACTGCACTCTAACCCCCATTCTTGCAAGTTGCACGCGCGTGTGTGGTCGGGGGAGGGGAGGGTCCGAAGTGCCCAGGCTACCACAAAGTCAAATTTTAATAGCTTATAAAGTAAATTTCAGTTATATTCCCGGGTCAGAAACTTAGAAAAAAAAGAAAAGATTCAAAATTTTTTTTGGAAAATTGGCAATTTTTCGTTAAAAACTAAATTTCTAACGTTTTTCTGTCAAATTTTTTTGTAGATTTTATGTATGGATAGTGATAAACAAACAAAAAAATTATATTAGCAAAAGTCGCTCCTAGAGATTTTCCACCGAAAACCCGGCATCTCTAATATTCTTTTCTGAAAACTTTTTGAAAATTTTGCGCATTTAATATTTATATTAGCAAGATGCGTTCCTACGCCCCGGGAAAGCCTAGGGACCTATTTTTTTGTAAAATTAGAGTAGGGTTAAGCTAAGAATTTTGTATTTTTTTCAAAGCACCTTTCCTAAAACGTCGTCATAAAATCATTGTCAGGCCATTTTTCCGAAAAGCGGTGCTCAGTGGGGGTGTCAGGGCTCTTGCTCCTTATCCCCGAGGGGCAAAGGGGCAAGAGGGAATAATGAATTCCGGGGGGTGGTGGCCCGGCGACGCGACCTTATAGCCTAACGGGAAGGGGGCACCCTATAGGGAAGGGGGATGGCTATCGCTCTTTGCTAAGCCTGCGCCCTACTGGGCCCCGGTGGGCCCTAAGAATCGATGGGGCCCTGGGGGATGGGGAAGAGAGCGAGAGAGACAGAGAGAGAGAGAGAGAGAGAGAGAGAACGCCGGAAGGGGCGCGAGAGATCATGGACTCACGAGAGGGCCCAGGGCCCGGATCCGTGGATTCTGGCCCCGATATTCGGCCTCTAGGGCCCTTTCCCGGGGCTTTCTCTGGGCCCACCGTCGCCGTGCTGCTATGTCCTTCCTTTTACGCCGGGGTTTCTCTTTTTCTTTGCACACATCGTCGCGAGGAGTGTCAAGACGGATTCTGGGCCCCTGCCCCGGGACCGCGACGTCATCTGGTGGCGAAACCGGAGCCGTTGGTGTGGTGATTAGGGCAATGTTCAGTTTTGAAGGCCTGGCTCGTTGTCCTGAGGCCATTTTTATACATCCCCAACCGCATAAACTCATTCAAACCCTATTTTTCTTCATTTTGTTGGTAGATTTTGATACTGGCGTGCTAAAATTTTTATAACGTATGCTAGCGCCTGGCGAAACCAAATGGTGATGAGAGCAATGTTTAATTTTTGAGGTCGAGGTTGTTTCCATGAATTTTTTTAATGCCAATTTTTATCAATCCATTAAATTTTTTATAAAAATTAATTCCATTCGATTTTAACCTCGATCATGGTTGGTTTTAGAAGATGTTTAACCTATTTTCAAGCCAAAATTCTCCTCACGGTTCGAGGTAAATTTCTTCACTACCGATTTCGGGTTTCTATAAAAACTTATTTTCGATTTCCCCACATCCTTGGACTATTTTGATGCATTTCAAGCTGGTTAGGCTATTTTCAAGCGCGGGTAATCTCGATTTTCCAGGTGCTTTCTTGCTGCTAATAATTCCCGGTTTCCAAAAAGAGTCTCTCGTTCTTTCCCCTCTTTCAAAATGTTGCCAAATCGACATGACTTTTCGAATTCTCCTCCCAATTTTGATCCCCTGATGTCGTCAGCCCCCGACGGTCACAATCTAATTTTTTTGCCCGGAGGTGCCAAACGCGTTGCCGGGCCCAAATTAGAGGGCAGCGGCCCTCTAATTTGGGTCCGGCCCCATGACGTGCCCATTCTGCTTTTTTGCGGTCGATTTTCTCGAGGGTCAAGAGGGGGAGGGGGAGGGAACAGTGGGACTCAGAAGCAGAAGCTGAATTAGGGCCACCACACGCCATCCGCCCATCAGATGGGACGGGGGGGATCATCACGAGGGCAACAGCCACGCAAAAAACAGCACAGTATACCGCGTGTTGCCCAAGCTTAGGCCGAAGCCAAACCTAAGCCAAAGCCAAAGCTTAAGCCTAATTCCCGATTTCCAGAGGCTTTCCCTTTTTATCTAGCTTTACCTTTCAACCGCTTCCATCTTCCATTGATTCCAGTTTTCCCGCTTCCTTCCCACAAACCGGGTAAAAAAAAAATAAATCCCGATACCCGGTGGCTATCTGGCTGAGAGCCCGTCACAGCTTCTCCCCCTCCTCTCGGCCCCAATATCAAATTATCCGGTGCCCACACAACGGCTCACCCTCCTGGGCCCAACCCCCTCTTATGGCCCACCAGCTTTTGGAACGCTTTTTGCGAAAAATTGCTTCCGCTACTTCTGATTTTTGTTATTGTGGCGGCGCTATTGTGTGCGTTTTCTAAGCCTTTTGGTGGTTTACGGAAAAAGGCTTTAATGTCGTAGTTTAAAGCTTGAAAATGACCAACGTGGCAAAGACCAGAAAGCCTAAACCTGATCCTGAGCTTAAGCCTAAGCCTAAGCCTAAGCCAAAACTAAAGACCAAGAAGTTTTCTTACCACGTCGAAAAAGTTGCCTTTCCCCTAACCCCTGGCTTGAATAGAATCTGCCGGGGTCCTCCTGTGCCCCCTCCTCCCCCAGGCTTCCCGTCGAAAATGGCCCAATTTGAGGCCGGGGCCCAATTTCAACTGGGGGCCCTGTGCTGCTCCTCCCTTCCTGCCATTCCCTTTCTTTCGACGAAAAGGAAGGGACGGGAAATGTGGGTGAAATCCAATGCGACCAGATCGGGGCGCGCATCTTTTTGGGGCCCGCATTCATATGTAGTTTTTTAGTTTTTTTTAACTTTTATGTTGAATCCCAGCCTTGGTGAGCAAAAACGCACTTTAAAATATTTTAAAGGGGCGGGGAAGGTGGGAAAATCAGGAATGGGGGTCTTGAAGTCCTGTAGAGGATGCTGAAACTACCCCGAAAATGTTTGGAGTGGCGAATGACCTGAATAATTTTTTATTGAAATGAAAATCCCAGGAAAATGCACACCTCCTTTTCCCGAGCTTCAGTCGAGATTCTTCCCCTACCCTGCCGCCCAATTCAGGAGACTTGTTTTCTGGCGGCTCCTCCGCTACTTCTTTTCCCCCCGGCGGCCCGTCACTCCCATCAGTGGGCCCTGTTTGGCCATCCACCCCGGGAAATTCCCCAATTAGGGATGCATTGCCGTGCCTTTTTTCTATTTGGATCGATTTTTGGAGAGAATCCGAATTTAGAAACGGAAGCCGTAACGATAGCGACGTGAAGAGGATGTTGTACTTCTACCTCATAGCTTGCTAAATAGCAAAAATTTCGTTTTTGAGAAGCTCTTTTTGGTGTCCCGTCGCCGGCTTTATCTTTTTCACGCGAGCAAACAATCCCCAAAATTTTTGGCACGACATTTCCGGTCGTCGCGACTCATACACGTCGCCAACAGACACGGGGGGCGGAGCCAACCAACATAGGGACCCTGGAACCCCGACCCCCGTGCCCGTTTAGCTCAGTGGCAGAGCGTCTGTCTCGTAAACAGAAGGTCCACGGTTCAATCCCGTGAGTGGGCAATGTTTTTGCTTTTTGGAGGAGATACTGGAGAGCGGTTGTAAAGTAACGTTAGATACTTATTATAGCTTTTCTAGACCATTTGAAGAATTTTCTGGGTATTTTGAGCGCGCCAAACGAGCTCTTTGTAAATACGTTTAGATACATCTTGTCAACTCATTTCAAGCATTCCCGGTCTTATTTTTTACGTTGGGAAGAAATATTCCATTCCCGGCATGTCTTGCTGCCAGGAAAAGCCGTTAATTCCAAGCCTCCCTTCCGTTACCACCCATATCCACGTCACGACCATCCTCGGAGGGCCTTCCCCTCATTCCGACCCCTCCACTTTCCATTTTCGCCTTCACCCCCAGTGGGGCCCATTTGGCCCCACCACCGGCCCTAGCTGCATCAAAATCCCCGCATTTTCAGGATACGATATCTTTATGGATTGAGCCTCGACGCGGGACGCCGACGAGGAGTACAGGGTGTTATTTGGTGGGTGGGGTGGGTTAATGGAACGCCGGAATTCAGTTTGTCGAAACAGAATATCGAAACGCGGCTTTGTCGAAAATCAGAATTTCGAAAACATTATCGTAAAGGCAGTTTCTCGAAACTTTGTGGAAAAATTGGAACGAGCTGCATGATGTCGAAAATCCACAGCGACCAAGAAAAGGAATAACGATTAAAAATAACGATAATAATGATAATGAAAATAATAATAATGAAATTTTCGAATCCGCGAAATTTCAAAAAAATTGTGTTTTTGACTAAAAAATAAGCTAGCGCGGAAATGAAGTTACTTATCTTTCCAGATCTAATTCCGGGTGCCGCTTCTGAAGCAACAAAATTTGTGTGAACCATGTCATCCGTAAAGGTAAATCTATCTCCAGGTTTCCCTTCAAAATTCTACCAGGTGGCCGTCCGGGTGCGGCCTTTCAACTCCCGCGAAATCAGCAACACCTCGAAATGTATCATTGGGATGACGGGGAATACAACAAGTGGGTTTTTGTCCTTTTCAAGCTCTCACTCTCCCTTTAAACCGTTTAAATCCTGTTTTTAGCCATCTCCGGTTCGGGCGGGGCTCACTCGTTCAACTTTGACCACTCCTACTGGTCGTTTCGGAATGAGGACCAGCATTTTGCCACTCAGCAGCAGGTCTATGACGAGCTCGGAGTGGAGATGTTGCAGCATGCTTTTGATGGGTAGGTTCGCGTGAATTTAAGTTTTCCGGTACATACCGACTACCAAAATCCCGACATATAAAATACGACAGCAAATACCGACAAAATCCCGGCAGCGAAAAAACTTATAGCCCCAATCCCGCCATTATAGAATCCCGAGAGCTAAAATTCCAACAACCATAATTCCGATAGAGCAAAATCCCGAGAGCCAAAATCACAAAAATACCGACACGAGGAAAATTCTGGACTTTGGCCGCGTTTTCGCCCGTCGGAATTATGGCTATCGGGAATATGGCTGCCAATATTCTGGATGTCGGTATTTTAGCCATGACCGGCCTTTACTACCAGAAATTAAATTATGGTATATTTTCAGTTACAACGTCTGCATCTTTGCGTACGGCCAGACCGGCTCCGGCAAGTCCTACACCATGATGGGCAAGTCCAACGACGAAAAGGCAAGTTTTCAAAAGAGACGGTATCGAATGCGCGCTCTAGGAAATGGGCATAATCCCGAGGTTGTGCAACGACTTGTTCGGCCGGATCGGCAACAACAATGGAGAAGTACAGTATTCGGTTGAGGTGAGGACATCTATTTTCGGATGATAATATGTCTTTCTAGGTGTCCTACATGGAAATCTACTGCGAGCGGGTGCGCGATCTTCTAAACCCAAACTCGAGCGGAAATCTGCGAGTTCGAGAGCATCCCCTTCTCGGGCCGTACGTCGACGACTTGACCAAGTTGGCCGTCCAGAATTATGAGGATATTGTGAATCTGATGGATGAGGGGAATAAGGCCAGGTAAACCGTTATTTAAATGCCAGAAGCATTACGTTCAGAACTGTTGCCGCCACGAACATGAATTCGACGTCCTCCCGATCTCACGCCGTCTTCACCATCGTTTTGACGCAAAAGCGCCACGATGTTGCAACAAATTTGGATACGGAAAAGGTATAGAAAATATTTTTTTATTACCTAGCGGATGGGGTTGCAAAAAATCCCGAAAAAATAGCGAAACTCTCGGAGATTTTGGAACCCACCTTCAAGTTAAGCCTGGCCAAGTTTTGTACGTTGGAATCCTAAGTACAAACGTCTTTTAGGTGGCCAAAATCTCGCTCGTCGACTTGGCCGGCTCAGAAAGGGCCAACTCGACCGGGGCCGAGGGCCAACGTCTCAAAGAGGGCGCCAACATCAACAAGTCGCTGACCACCCTCGGCCTCGTCATTTCCAAGCTCGCCGAGGAGGTTAGTTCAGCAGGAATCTACCTGTTTCTAACGTCTGTTCCTCCGTTAAACCCCCATAGAAATTTTCCGATTTATTTTTGGGCCCAGCATCTTTTGCTGGGGATCTAAAGGTGGTCGAAACTTCTCCCTTCCTTTCCTCTAATAGAACACCCATTTCCAGGCTGAAAGCGAAAAGGTGAGAAAGAGAGCGAGACAGAGAGGGCAGAGAGAGAGAGCGCGCGAGAAAGCGGCACAATCGCAAAGATTTGCACTCTCAGTTTTTTCGGTTGCCATCAGGATGGCCAAAAGCGGCGGCTCTTGCATGGGAACCGTCGTTTTTGCGCACCAAAAAGCACCAGATATCATCAGAGTTGTTGACAATAATCGCATGCACGAATGATTTGAGATTTTTACCGTAAAAGCCGGTCAAAAGGAGCCTCTTTTCAAGCTACTGATTTTTGAAAGTTATGGTTCAAAAGGAAATGCTTCTTTAACACTTTAACGCTAGAAAATAGGCCCCTTTAAATACCAAATATCGATCGATAATTCCGACCCGTTAGTCAACCCGTGGTTGCGATTCTCACGGCATGAAAAATGCGATATGCTCGACGGTTTTGTGGCTTCTTAATTTTCTAAAACTCACGTTTTCAGGCTGGCAAAAAGAAGGGCAAGGGAAAGCCGGTCGTTCCCTATCGTGACTCGGTGCTGACATGGCTACTACGGTAGGTTGATCAGCTACAGGCACACATTTTAGGGCACGTCGAATCGTAGCGAAATTCTCTTTTTAGCGAAAATCTCGGCGGAAATTCTAAAACTGCTATGGTGGCCGCGCTATCGCCAGCTGACATTAACTACGACGAGACGCTGAGCACGTTGAGGTTAGAAATCTTGTAGTTTGGGTTTTAAAGGCCCTGGGAAGGCATGACAATTTAGCAAGAGTCGAAAACCGCGTTTAGATACGCTGATCGAGCAAAGCAAATCGTCTGCCAGGCCGTTGTCAACGAGGACCCGAACGCCAAGCTCATCCGCGAGCTCAAGGAGGAGGTAAGCACAAACCCGAGGAGCTGCTAACGTCACTTTTTTAGGTGAACAAGCTGCGCTCGATCCTCGAAGACAAGGGCATCGACCAGGCCGAATGGGACCCATCTCAATCGCAAACCCTGCAAAGACCAAGGGCCCTTTTCTCGGCACGCGACAACGAAACTATCGAACAACTGAAGGTAGCACTAACGTCCAATTTCAAAGCCTCTTCTAGGCCTCCGAAAAGCTGATGAACCAGCTGAAAGAGTCGTGGGAGGAGAAGCTCAAACGATCCGAAGAGATTCGACGGCAGCGCGACGAGGAACTCCGAGAAATGGGGTTGGCTTGCGGGGAAGACGGAAACACGCTAGGCGTCTTTTCGCCGCGAAAACTGCCCCATCTCGTCAACCTCAACGAAGATCCGTTGATGAGCGAATGTTTGCTGTATTATTTGAAGGAGGGGACGACCACGTAAGTTAATGCAAAAGCCTTGATTCCGCGTAGTTACCCTAATCGTCACTGACCCATTTCTAGCGTCGGTCGTCCAGAAGCGGATCCGCGTCCGGATGTGCTGCTCTCCGGTCAGAATATTTTGGAGGACCATTGCGAATTTATTAACGAGGACGGATCGGTGACGCTGGCACCGAGAAGGGTAAGGATTTGCGGGACAAGGAAGGAATTTTAAGGAGAACGAAGTGCCTATGGTTTTCCAAACCAGGTTAAGATTGCAAAATAAGCAGGAAGCGCACAAGACACAAACGAGACAACCTTATAAAAACTTTTTTCAGCAAGCCCAATGCTTCGTGAACGGACGTCCCATCACTGAACCGACCGTGCTCCACACCGGTTGTCGTGTCATCCTCGGCCAATACCACGTCTTCCGCTACAACGACCCGCAAGAAGCCCGCCAATCGAGACACAACCTCGCCGGCTCGCTGACAGCTTCTGTCATTAGCGGTAATAGGAAAAATAACTTTTAAAGACAATTTTCCAGAACAACCCCTCGACTGGAAGTACGCACAACAGGAGCTGCTCGAGAAACAGGGCATTGATTTGAAGGTCGAGATGGAGAAGAAGCTGCTCGACCTGGAGAGTCAGTATCGAAGGGAGAGGGAGGAGCTCGAGCTCAAGATGATGCGACAAACGAAGGTAAGCAGCAAAGTAAAGGCTTGCTATTAAGCTATACTTCCAGGAATACGAGACTCGAATCGAGACCCTACAACGGCAAGTGGACCTGGCGCAGTCGATGATCACCTCAACGTGCTCGAATTGGGAAGGCGAACGACTTCTCACCTCTTCTCTGTTGCAATTTGGTAAGATCGCCATAAAACCTCCGAAAAAAATTTTAGCTGAGGAATGCAAGTGGACCCCAGATCAGGAAAGGATAGCAAGAAGAGTTGCCGTCAAATGGAAGTAAGTCAAAACAAGAGAAAAACACAACATGATAGATACCACCAATTCACGTCTGTGCGTGACGACCTCTGGGGCAACGCCATCTTTATCAAGGAGGCCAACGCGATTTCGGTGGAGCTGAAGAAGAAGGTGCAATTCCAATTCGTTCTCCTCACCGACACGATGTACTCGCCGCTGCCGCCGGATCTGCTACCACCTGGGGAGGATTTGTCGTTGAGACCCTATCCGAAGACCGTCGTCGCTATCCAGGTATTTCCTTTGAAAGAAAAAGCGGCTCCTCCTCAAGAAAAATCAAATCCAATCGAATGCAACGATGGGTTTGCAACATTTTTTTGCTGAAAATTCGATCCTTCGAAAAAACAGGTCTCCGCCATAATGCGAAAGAACCGAGAAAGGTCAAAACAGCGAAAACTAGCAAACAATCAATTTTCAGGTACAAGACCTCAAAAACGGCGCCACGCACTACTGGAGCATCGAAAAGCTGAAGTAAGGCCAATTCTTATTCAGTGTCGGCCAGATCACCCCCGTTTTCACCGTTATTTTTGCGCCCTCACCGAGTAGTCGATTAACCACGTTTTGAGCTTCCGTTCCTTTTTGTTTGCCTTTCGAACCTTAAATAATTGCATAGCGAGGGAGGGCCGTAGTGTTAGACTCGTGTGCGTCGCCGCATTCACGCAACAAACACCCAAAACAGAGCTGGTTTGCCATCGGGAGGCCGGTAGTTGTATCGTTGCGTGCGGGCATTAGTTTCGGGAATGGTAATGGTGTGTGTATGGTTGAGGGAAATGGGCATATTCATAGAATTAGATTAAACCGGGATGTAAAGATACGAAGCAAAATGGTACTGGACTGTTAGCGGGGGGAGGGTTTAAGAGGGCCAAGTAAATTTTTCCTACGTCCTTAACCGTCGAATAACAAAACGTAAACCATTTTAATAACATTTTACGTCGTTAAATATACAAAGTTCATCAAAAGTCTATTAAATGTGCCGGAAATTTTTGATATTTGGTCGAAATCGTCAAACTTCTAAGTTTCTATCAATGTTTGGTGGACCTTTAGCACTCAAAAACTACTAAGAACGCGCTAAAAATACGCAATACAACGCCAAAAAAAATAGCCCCCCCCCCGCTATCAGCCCAGTACCCCAAAAAACGCTGCTTTCACGGCCAAAATCCACGCACCATTACCGCTTCGTTTCCCGGTTAACACTACAACTCTGCAAGTAGTTTTTAACCGATCGCTCTGATAGTATAATCGTATTAAGTGTGGTTGGGCTACCTATCGGGCCGGTTACAGGCAGCGTCTGGAGGAGATGCGCTCTTTCTACAACGCCGAGGTGAGCGAGATTGGGACTCCAGTGGAGGGCCCTCCACGTTCCGGATCCGTGATCACCGACGGATGGCTGGCGGCGCTGTCCCTCAATCCTGCACGGCTCATCCCCGACAGGTCCGCATCTCTATGTATCCCTCAGCTGCTAGGCCGGCGCACAAAAAACAGGCAAACCGATGGCAAGCATATTTCCGGGGGGAGTTGGTGGTGCCGGGAAAGGATTTCGGAAATTCATTAAAATAAAATATTTCTGTTTTTTTATAATTTTTGACAAAGGCATGCCCATATATTATATGTAGTTCTATGGCACATTTAATACTGCCGGATCATCGAAAGACTCGAAATTTCAGTTCTTTCGCATTTGCGGGGGGCTCAAAAAGGCATAGTAACGTATTTGTAAGTATCTTAATCGGTTTTAGTAAATTGTTACTATATTTCTGTCCAAAAACTGTATAAAAAATTTTAAGATTTTGTACTTCGCAATTTTTGGTAAAAAAAATTGATATCTTTATTTTTTTAGCAGAAGGTTTCTAATTTTTTGGTTTGGGAATCGTAAAACAAAATTGAAAACCATTCCTCTATTTATATGATAGGAATTGGATACTAAGGAAACAGTTGTCCGCCTCCAATAATGCGAAAGAAGCGAAACTTCCTAGGTATTATACAGGAGAAACAAGCTTCTATTTTAATTACCCATTTTATTTTGTCCCGACTAGCACCACGACTCCCCTGTCTTTAAACTTTCGCTCCGTGTCGTCCAATGTCCAGTTCGATTTGAATCGGAAAGCCAAACGACCGGCAAAAATCAAGAAATCTGCGCTTGCGCGTTGCCGTGTGTATCGAATGATAAGCTGTTTCACGGCAATGTGAAGGCCAATCACCAACTTAGCCGGTCGTTTGATCATGTCCTCGTGCTGGAACGTCCGGTACTTTGCAGACAACGACTCGAGTCGATGCGTGATCTCTACGAGACGGAGGGCGAAATGTCGCCCGTCAGCCCCGACGACCCAATGATGGACGCCCTGATGGGCACCGATCCGTTCTACGATCGCTTCCCGTGGTTCCGGATGATTGGAAGGTTTGTACGCCTCACAACTATTTCACAAAATAACGAATTCAGGGCATTCGTCTACCTCTCCAACCTGCTGCACAACGTTCCCCTAATCCACAAGGTTGCCGTGGTGAACGAGAAGGGGGATGTGAAGGGCTACTTGAAAGTGGCAATCGAGCCGATTAAGAAAGGTAGATCATTATTATAGAAAGCTCATACACCAATCAAATTCAGGAGAACCAGAGCCCCCACTGAAATCGGGAGTACGACAGATGGCCCGGCTCCACTTCAGAAAAGAAGATTTTCTAAAGGCCGTCCACCATAATGCGAAGGGTACGATTTCATTAAAGGAACATATAAAAATCATTCTAGAAGAACTGGACGTCGAATACCCAAAGCACATGCAAGAAGATGAAATCTTCTCTTTCCGTGTCGTCGTCCTGCAGGCCACATCGGTCTCCGAACAGTACACCGACGTCTTCTGCCAGTTCAAGTGAGCCTGCCGATCTCATTAAAACTGTTTATTTAGCTTCCTACACCGGCACGACGAGGCTTTCTCCACCGAGCCCATGAAAAACAACCAACGAAGCGGCCTGAACTTTGACCACGTCCAAAATCTTAACATCAAAATGGGTCGCACCTTCCTTCACTATGTGCATCATTTCCCGATCATCTTTGAGGTCAGCTAAAGTCACAGAGTCGTGTTTTAGACCCTAGCGTTATTATACCACAATTTACAGGTCTTCGGCCATTATCAGCCTCAACCCTCCGGGTTCGCCTTTGAGCGCCAGACCAGCCAAGTGATGAGGTTAGAAAGATCAGGAGAAATCAACAATGTTTTAGCCGTCGAATGTCAACGAGCCAACTATTCCCGGCACCATCGTTGGTCATCTCAACACCCGTCAAGAGCAAGAAGACCGCTCCCACACCGACTCAAAAGTATGCACACTGCAGAGGCTCAGATATCGATATTTTAGCTCGACACCAGTCCGATGCAAGTACGACATCCTGGTTTGGTTTGAGATATGCGAATTGGCCAACAGTGGAGATTATGTTCCCGGTGAGTCATTCACCAACCCAGTCCATCTTCCTAGCTATCGTCGATCACGCGCAAGGGCTACCAACCCACGGCGTATTCCTTCTCCATCAGGGCATACAACGAAGAATCAAAATCACCATCTGTCATGAGAAGGTAAGATTTAATTTTATTCCAATCCTACAATAGTGTCTTAGAAATGTATATCAAACCAACACACCTGGTTTAGGGCGACATCAAGTGGAAAGAATGCCAAGAGTTGGTCATCGGACGGATAAGAGCCGGGCCTGAATGGAATGGTGACGATGTCGATGTTCTTTCGCTGGGCCTTTTCCCAGGCACATATCTGGAATTCGCGCACGACGACCGGTAGCGAAGCCTGCAAAGGGAGTAGCAAAAACTTTCAGAACCTTCTTCCAATTCGAGGCGGCTTGGGATAGCTCGCTCCACAACTCCCCACTGCTCAACCGTGTTTCCAATTATGGCGACCAGATCTATATGACGCTGTCAGCCTATATGGAGGTTAGTCTGCCACTCGCGCCAAAAAAGTTCCTCAAGGTCGAGGGATGTTGCCAGCCGGCCGTCATCACGAAGGATCTTTGTCTACTTATCTACGCGCGCGACAGCAAGATATCCGCAGCTAGCCGGTAAGTTCCCAAGTTCCGGATGTATGCTACGCAAATCTCAAGATCTCATTTATTCCACCGGCACGTCGCCATAAACACAAAATGAAAAATAAAAAACGAATACACAATGAGGTGGTGGGATTAGTTCTTGGTGGCGACCTTCTTCAGAGGGCACTGGCAGAATCCCTTGTGGCAGGAGAGTCCATTGCACTCGTTGGCCTTGCAAGTCTTCACGTTGCACATCTTCGTCAGCGCCTCGCCGTAGCTCTTGTAGCCGGCCGTGGTGAAAGCCTACGAAACAGAATACAATAAATCCGCGCGATAAATACCTTGAAGCAGTCGCAAGCCTTGGTCTTGTTGTTGCAAGCGCCCTCGAGACCGCCGCAGTTGGTGTCATTCTTGCAAGGGAAGAAGTGGATGCAGGCCTGGCAGTTGCATCTAAAAAAGAACAATGTGAGAAATGCGGCGCCCAAATTAGTACCTCATATAGCAAAAACAAACTTACTTTCCGGGGAAGTATCCAAGGCAGGTGCCACCATTGCAGTCGTCGTTATCGGAGCACGGGGCCACGGCTTTGCACTCGAGGGTGGAGTTGGTGGCAGGAGCTTCGGTGGTGGAAGTAGCCGGGGCAGCGGTCGTGGTGGTTGTAGTCTCGGTCGTCTCCGTGGCATCGGTGTCGGCATCACGACGCTGACGTCCGGCCTGCTCAGCGATCAGATCGTCGACGACCTAAAAAAAAAGAGATGACTGCTAGGAAAAAGGAATTTACCTCATAGAGACGAATTCCGGAGCCTTCTTCTGCTACGAGGTCTTCCACGAGTGCTCGCTGAAACCTGGCGCTGGCGACAGCCGCGAAGAACGCAAGGTACAAGAGTTGCATGGCTGAAAAAACAATTGTAAAGTCAAGTGCACAAAATAACAGCACGGGCTGAAGAGAACGACACAAAACGTGAAGGAACATGGCAATAAAAGACGGGAAAGTCGGTGAGAAAATGCCAGATCTTGAAAGCCAGCCCAAGGCCCAGGTAGGGTCCCGAGTGGAATTCCACGATACGCTGACATAGGTGCAAGATAAAAAGCAGAAAATGCTGGCACTGCCAGATCCCCCCAACAAGCTCCAAATTGGAAAAATTCAACATGTGGAAAATATTAAATCTTTTAGGTTCTGCCGTTCGCTGATCGGCGGTATTTCGAAGGCGCCATCTATGAACCGAGTCCCCGGCGTGTACGAGATCGCTGTGAAAGATGCCTCCGATTCAGGTAGTCCAGGTGTGTGCACCCGGCCGCTTCTTTTTAACGCTGACCCTGAGTTGCCAAGAAAAAGTTTACCCGAATGTTTGTATGGTGTTTTGTGCAACGGCATTGCGAATATAACGATTCGAAAAGTCTAATTGCGGGCAGGACCCAGACTAAAAAATTTGTTTGTGGCTTGAAGAAACCGTAAAATAGGTGCGGTTCGACGACAGCGCCGCGTTCTGGATACGTCATCGGCCTACGTTCGTGGTGAAGAGAATCTGGGACAGTGGCGACCACGCGGCGACTCCCTCATTTTCGAGCACCAGTGGGAGCTGGAGAAGCTGGCCAGATTGCAGCAAGTCGAGAGGGTGCGGCTCTTCCTCCGACTCCGCGACAAGCTCAAGAAGGGCAAAAGCTCGGTATTTTTTTTTGCTTGAGGATCGGGTCAAATTTCTTGACACGCACCGGTGACAAATTTTGGTACTATTCAAGTTCGGGGGGGCAAAATTTTTTTGGGTCATTTTCGGCAATTTTTCTTAGTTTTTCTTAGCGCCTAGCTTAGTATTGGCTTAGTTTAGGCTCAGGCTTAGCTTAACCTAGACTTAGGCTTAGCTTCTGGGCGGGGCGAACTACCCTCGACTTAGCTTAGCTTTTCTTAGCTTCGCTCTTTTTGGCTTCGGCTTAGCTCTGTTCAAGCTCGATTTAGCTGAGCTTCAGCTTAGCTTAGCTTATAAGTAGAGCATTGCGCTTGATTAGCCGTGAAAAACCGAAAAAGTAGCCCAAAAATGACATCGAAAAAATTTTGCCCCCCCTAACTTGAATAGTACCCAAATTTTTAGCAGGGTCCCAAGACGCCAGTTTCTCCCTGCGATCCGGTGCGGGCCATTCCAGACAAGGTGACGATGGATGAGAAGGAGAAGGGCATTGTTGGAAAGGTATTTTAACTCCTCGCTCGTTACGACTCGCTTTAGGTTCTGAATCTGATCCACCGCAAAATCCCGACCAACAAAGAGCCTCCGACTGGCCGGCAAGATAACAAGGAGAGCGACGACAGCGGTATCACATCACCACTCAGCGACAAGTTAGTATCTTTGTTACGGCGCTGTTTCCTGGAAATTACTAAAAAATCGAGGTTTACATCGTATTCTCACTTTCCAGGGCGATGCGCTCTTCTGATCCCGAGGTGCCAATCGGGAAACGGTCGGATCTGGCGCCAGATGAGGCTCCATTCGGTATGAGGAGATCTCCAAGTGGGCACACATTGGCCTTACTTGTCCCAGAGGTCAGTTCAAGATGGAAAAAGAAATGAGCGAAAATGGAAACGAAAAAGAACCGGAAACTCTCTTTAGGTGACTGAAGAACGAGTCGGCGTCGTCGTGTCAAAGAAGGGCTATATGAATTTCCTGGAGGAGAAGACGCAGGGCTGGTTGAAGAAATGGGTGGTGGTGCGGAGGCCGTACTTGTTGCTGTTCCGCGACGAAAAGGACTTGGTCATTCGGGGCGTCATCAACCTGGCGAACGCGCGCGTGGAGTACAGCGAGGATCAGCAGGCCATGTTGAAGGTGAGACAACTTGTAGAGCACGCTGTAGTGGGGCTAATCTTGCAACAAATGTTTAGGTTCCTAACACCTTCTCGGTCTTGACGAATCACCGCGGGTTCCTGATGCAGACATTGGCAAACGACGAGGTTTGTGGAAGGATTTCATTTTGAGCGGAAAAGGCCGAAAAGCAAGCAAACCGAGCCTAACTTTCAGATGTACGACTGGTTGTACGCAATCAACCCGCTGCTGGCCGGCCAGATCCGGGCTCGACAATCCGCCGAGGCCAAGCCGGTCGACTCCACCAACGGCCATGCCTAATTCGCCAAAAGAATATCCTTCCCCGGTGTGTATATTTTAGAAATTCTAAATTTTGGCCTGATTGTACAGAAGATGCAATCTGCTTTAATTAATTTTGGGCAAAAATTTCTCGCTAATTCTTGACGCAAAAAAACGGCTTTTCCTATCTCCTTCACCAACCCATCATCCACTGTCTCACTTCGTGCGCATGTGCGTGTATTTTTCAAAGTAGTGTTGGCCAGTGATCACTAGACATATAGTAGTAGCCGTTTATCTACCCGCCATTTCTAGGAATACCGCTGATTAGGCCCCTAACAAGCGCATCTCCCGCCTGCGCCGCCCTTTCGTACTAACTTATTTGTTTTAATTATACTTCATGTTCAGATTGATGAACGGTAAAGCCTTTCCCTTGCCTGCCCCGCGTCGATTCACATAATTTATGCGCAAAGGCAGAGAGCACCGTGGCACTAGAGCAAAGTTTGGGCAACGTTTGAATCTTATCGGCGATGGGTGGGGGTGGTGAGAAAGACTACACACAGCGTTGTACATATGCAGAATTGTGGAATTTCAGAAATTCACAAACACGTTTTGGGAATGACACGCATTGGGGTGGGGAATGAAAATAAGACGCATAGTTCGTGGGTAATATGGCACAGAAAGAAGTGAATAGAGATAGTCAGCTACACAAAAAAGTGCGAGATACACACAGAATTTTTTTAGTTAATTTGGGTCCACTCCGTGGAAAAAAGTGGGAGATTAGTAGATTGATACACAGTTTTTTTAGAAAATTTAAGTGCGATCGGTGGTCTTGGGGACGAAACCGAGGCCAAGCCGGGCCAGCGCCATGTTCTTTCGCAGCACGATGATGTCGGAGTACATGTCGCGAAGCCCGGACCGCACGATACCAAGCGAAACATAGCGAAGATATGTGTGGAAATCGCACACGGCAGCTATCTAGAAAATTCGATTTAGAGTCAGAAATCGAGGATTTCGTAAGGTCGACATTTCGAGGAATCTCGGAAAAACCCCAAACTTTATGCCAAGAATTTCGTGATGTTGAAATTTCGACATTATAAAGTCAGAAAATTCGGGTCGGCTTTCCGGATAAAAAAAAACCTACCCTGTTCCTCGCGAGAACCGATATAAAATGCCATTCATCGTCGGCGGAGGCCCGAGCGCGGAAAGGGCAAAACCGAGGCACCGATGTTAGGGAACAATTCCTGAAACTGAATTGGTGACACAGAAAGATATAGCTACCGAACATTTGGCTTATCCTCGTTTACTTGCTCGATCTCGATTCGATTTTGTAGAATAGCCGTCAGCAGGCTGGTGGCTAGCTGAAAAATAACAATAAGTAAAATCGCAAGAATAAAAATATTCTAGAGCCTACAAACTTACATCATCATTGTCAAATCGCAGACAGGGATCGACGTCTTCTTTATGGATGCGCGTGATGAAGGCAACGATTTGCGATGGTTCCGGGTCGCTAGTAGTGGGAGTGCTGCTTACATCGGGCCAGTTCAGCGGATGCCCTGCGTCCCGCCACTCGACGAATTCGCGATAGAACACCGGATCAATCTAGGAATTCGCTGATTCTCACCAATTTCCAAATTCTCACCTCTTCGGTAGAATCCGGCTCTTCTTTCCCATCACTACACAGTCGGGCTAGCTGCTCGCGGCTTGGGTTCGGCAAGCTAGACGACTTCTTCGAAGCAGGCACCGATTCCTCGAGCTGCCAGTTCTTCTTTTGATGACCGGGATGATTAGCTAAAAGAGTCTGTATTACATACATTTTATTAAACGATCAACAATACGCGAAATTCCGAACTGACAGTTTTACAAAATTCCGGCTCTACTGATCGTATTGATCCGGAATTCCCCGTACAGTTTCTTGAAACTAAAAGACCACGACTAAGAAATGCACAAACGGCGCAGAAGGGGGGTTATCCACGAATCACTGGATACGCAAGAATACGGTTAGTACAAGACAGGGATTGTGTATTACCGGCTGGTGGGTTATCGGCCGTTGGGGTCGGCGCGCGTCCCACCACTAGGTTCGAGGGTTAGGGAAGCCGTGAGAGGACAGGGCGTCAGCGAGAGAGAAAGATCAAGAAAGACAGGAATTCATGGGTTTCGAATTAGTGGTAGATTTCCAGGAGCCAGAAAACCGAAAAACTTACATGTGTTCAGAATCTTTGAGAACACGTTTCCCTTTCCGCTCTTGGCAGCGGTGTGATGCTGCCCGGCAGCTCCCGGCGTGCCCACTAATAATTTCAACGCTTCAACTTCGGCTTGCAGCACATCAACCTAGAGAAAGAGATTTCAATGATTTAAGGTCATTGCCACCTTCATCCTGCTCTCATTCAGCAGGCGCTCAGATTTCTCGCGCCGTTCTTCAGCCAGGTTCACCATTTTGTAAGCTTCCTACAAGGAAAAATTTGCTAAAATATCGATCCGGTACCTGGAAAAGCTTTTCAGTCAGCTCGTGCACTTCGGTGTCAACGGTATTTTGCATAGAAGAAAGGCGGGAGCATCGTTCTTCTTTCTCAAGAAGCGCGAGACGCGTCTAGAAACGTAAAAAATCTTCGAGCCAAAGAATTTTTAGCTTACCAATCGTAATTCCTCTTCGAGCCGCCGGATCGCCTCATCACCAGCAACCGACATGATGCTGGTAGCGGAGGAGGCAGATACCCTAGGAGAAAAATAAATTTTCACGCAAGCAAAGGTACCCGCTGCTGGCACAAGAATCCTCGTAGTCGTGGCTCTTGTCATCTAATTCACGGGTGGAGGCTCGACTGCGGTCCGACTCGATCATCTCCATGTCGCTCTCCTCATCGTGCAAGCTGCTGGCGCCGCCGACGCTTGCCACGTCAAGAATCAGTGCCTTGTCCAGCTGAAAAGTGCGGTGGGTATTTTAGGGCATCAATAAAGGCTTATAATTTCAAAAATAAACCGCCAGATAAAAATCAAGTGACTAGAGACTAGTAAAGTGTTTTTACGGAAGTCAGCATGAAAAAGTCGATATAATCCCAGGAGGATAACGTATTTCGACAGAGGGACGAGCAATGGACACCCCACGGCCCCCGAGTCCCGGGGGCGTGCATGGAAAATTGGATGAAATTAGCATCGGAAGGGTGGAGGGACGAGGAGGATTGGTGGGGCAGACCCATGCCCACACAAAATACCCCGCGGCGCCTACACTATGAACCAGAAAGAAGGTTGCCCAAAACCTTTGTTAAAAAGAGTCAGATACATTTTTTTCTAATCTGCGTCTTTCAAAAATAACTTTCTATTTATCTGCTTAAAACTGGTAAAACGGGCAAAAGAACGGGGAAAACAACGAAGGCAAAAGCCAGTCAATCGGAAATCCATACTTCCAAGATGGCCGGGCCGCCTGATCGAAAAAGAACGGGGCGCGAACAGGATTGAAATGCGATATGCTGCTCCCGATGTGATCAATCAGAGAGACCCGGTCAAAGGAGCGCGACGAGTTGTGCGCCGAAACATTGGGCAAGCCAGTGGAGGGGAGGGGATAATTGGGAGCAAACGAATTGCCAGCTGGAGAAGGAGATCGCGCTCGGAACAGTTGTCAATGTGATCTAGACGGGAATATTTCATGATCTCGAAAACCAACATCCCGAAAATCAACCTCTCAAAAATTTATGATGATCAATTTTAATTTGTCAAACACCAAGAAACCCTTTGTCAGTCTTTTCAGCAGAACAAAACAGACCTAGCGGACCGGTGTGGCAATTTAAGAACGATTCGCAGCTCGGACAAAAAACCGGCTCCAAGCAACCAATCGGAAGAGAAATGGCTATAAGCTGGCAATTGGGAGAGAGAGGGATGGGGGAAAGCGCAAATAGCCAACCGAACTATCCGCTTATACTGCCAAAACGGGAGGCTCGCAAGCGTGTCGGTGTCAAATTGGGCAAATAATAGACGAGAGGGTAGAGTTCAAACAAAATCCCGAAACAAAAAATTTTTCGGTAGTATCGAAGTAAAACAAATGATTTCTTCTAGTAGCCAGCGTAATTGAGCAAATCCAGATGTCCGGGCTGTTAGTGCTACTCCAAATTTCGCCATCCATCTGGCCATATGCGGTGGGTGTGCCTTGGGGGGCAAATGAAGAGGCTTCTGGAACTGAGCGCATCGATTTGTGTGACTGGAGGAGCATGAAGGGGGGGAGGAGAGCCTCCTCCTCGCACATCCACCACATGAGAAGAAGAGCAAGAAGAAAGGGCGAGGGGCATGATGTGTCTGCTGCCGCCACGGCGGACCAATGCATTCCCGAACGGGACCTCCTCCCAAACACAGCCTAGACCTACTTTTCTGGGAAAACGACCGGTCGGGTAACAGCTTCTCACGGATTTCACAAGCGCATTTGCAAAATGGAGCTGAACGGATTTGATATTTCCGGGGAGGAGGGGGGGGGGGGGGTTTCGATTTTCACCTTCATCAGGATATGTATGGTAGAATAGTCAGTATTTAATACTTTTTTTGCAAAAAAATAGTTTTATTTGAGGAGGAAAGGTATCTAGAACACGTTAAGGAATGCATCTTCCGGTCGATAAATCAAGTTTTTGGATTTCCTAATAAATTTATGGTAAAGCCCTTAGTGATCGCAATAGCAAAAATCAGCCTAGAAACACGCCCTCTTTTATTTTAGAAAAATCGAAAAAATAAGGAAAACTTCTTCTATACAGGGTGTCCCAAAAAAAAAAGACCCCCCCAAAAATTTGAGCCAGAAGGCACCTACGGAGCTGAAAATTTGCACAGAGGTTGCGAAGCCAATTTCCCATGTATATGGAAAGTTTGAGCCCGATTGGCCGACGGGTTTTAAAGTTATAGCGAAAATACTTTTCATTTTCAATTTAATATGGGGATTTTTGCAATTTGCATCAAAAATATGCGTTATTCTTGAATTTACGAGCCGATTTTGCATAAATTTTGCCAAAAAATGCCATTCTCTTGCTGGAGCTTTTGGAAAACGATTGCTCATGCAGCGTGAAAACGATCAGCAAAACCGCTGAGTACAAGATACATTGGTTGAAACTATCGTTCAGCGCCTGAACTTCGCTTAGACTTTGGACTGACTTAAACCCAAGCCCAAATCTAAACTTAAGTACCACTTAGAAGCTCATCGAACTCTGTTTCGGGGCTAGCGCGAAACAGCTTCCCAAAATGCACAATAAGGCGTGGTTTGGATCGATAAAACAGTTGTTTTCACACTCTTTTTACTCTTCATACGCAATCGTTCGCGCCATGCTCCAGCAAGAGAATGGCATTTTTTGGCAAATTTATGCAAAATCGGCTCGTAAATTCAAGAATAACGCATATTTTTGATGCAAATTGCAAAAATCCCCATATTAAATTGAAAATGAAAAGTATTTTCGCTATAACTTTAAAACCCGTCGGCCGATATGGCTCAAACTTTCCATATACATGGGAAATTGGCTTCGCTACCTCTGTGCAAATTTTCAGCTCTGTAGGTGCCCTCTGGCTCAAATTTTTGTGGGGGGGTCTTTTTTATTGGGACACCCTGTAGTAAGGAGGAATTTCCACCCCGAGGAATTATCGGTCAATGAAAGTACGCACAGCGATAAGCCAAGAGCCGATACATAAACCGGAGCAGCCGGAACAATTACTCATAACTGATCTACATTAAGAACAACTCACCCTGTCCCCAAAATTGCCGCAATCACTCCTTGAACGCTGCAACATTGTAGAGCCGGATAAACCCTCCTTCTCGCGCATCGCTTCTTGACTTTGCTCCTAAAATCAACGCATTTCATCTGTAGGCAAAGCGAATAAAGCGATTCGGTGAGAAGAGCTGCTTTAGAGCCGTCGCAAGCGAAAAACGCCCGGTCCAGGGTGTGACACAACGAGGGAGGGTCAGAATGCTTTGTCCCGTCCCCTAGAAAGAAACGCAAACACGGAACCGCGGCCAGCCCGGAACTGACCCCTTGCAAAGGATTCATACCCCACAATAACATGATAAGCAGGCCGTGGAGCCTATAGTAGTACCAAATCAAGTAAATAAAAGAGCAAGATTGATACAGACAATTTGTAAAAGCTAGTACCCACGAAAACAGCGTGAAAAACAATATATCCATTTTCCATTTAATAAAAAGATAGCGCTTTCACGAAAGGATCTATGTTAAAACTGCTGGGAACGAACCGATTGTAAAGGAGAGCTCTGACGAAGAGGCACAGGGCCTACATGTGCACCGAGCTCGCTGGCGGCAACCGGTCTTCTGCTGCCACGGCCGGCTCGACCGAACCACATCGAAGGACCAGTTAGAGTGCGCGGACGCCCTTATCTACTAAAATCAAGCAAGTGCCGCCGTTTTGTTTCACAAGGGCAATGACCTCGGTTCGATGTAATGCTTAGCCTCAACTGTCCTTATGCGTGACACACAAATTACAGAAATTTATCAACAAAAATTACCTACAGATGTAACGAAGCACTAGTCTGTACAAGAAAACAGCAACAAATTACAGATTACGAGAAGGGAGCGTGTTAAGCTGATGCTGCTTTGTGGCAGCCGAAAGATTATTCCCTTGAAGAGCTCATAAATAACCCAGATGTAACGATATTAGCAAGATCGCGAAGACGATGAAGATGAAAGAGAAGCGGAAGTTGAAGGGTGGGAATCCAGATACCGCCGATATTCGTTGACTGTCCGCCACTGGGTGCTCCGTAGCAAGGCCTAATTCTTGATAACTTTTGCGGCAAGGACAATTACCTGCGGCCGATGCGTTTTGATGAATTCAAAGGCCACATTCGGGAGCCAGTTCTTCTTTTGCATCACATAACAAGTGGCCACGGTAACAGAGCGCATTCGGCCAGCCTAAAAATCGAATATTTAATATTTAGACGATGATGTGCCAATTGGCTTAACGTAGCATTAAATTCGCAAACTATACCTTGCAATGTACGTATACTGACTTGCCGCTATTGTTGACATCATTCATAAAAGCGACCGCCTGGAAAAATTAGACGAATCGAAAAACGATCACCTCGATCAATTCTGGACGTGCAGCAGTCCCAACAAAATCATGCATAGGGATGGCATGGAACCGGACTCCGTGCTCCTAAACTTAGTTAAGAAAGATAAGCTTTTTCCAACCTTCCAGTCCTCTGCATTCATTGCACTCCAAGCCGCCTTGAGCTCGTAGGGCTCTGTGCAGCATACCACGCCGCCAATGTTCTCTTTCTGAAACAGGGCGTAAAACAAAAGCCAAGTCCTTACATTTACAAGCTCTTCCCTCATTGATTTGAAAGGCATTGCTCCGAGCACTAACCCATCGTCGATTCGATTATACCTAAAAACACACGGAATAAAACGATAGAATCAGCTAAAAGTTACCAGGCCCATTTATCCGGTTGCAGCCGATTGCGCAGCAAGTTATACCCAAGCGATGGGTAGAAGAGGAAGGAAGTCAACATCCTAAACAAAACAAAATTATTTTTATAGCTTTTTGATCAGTTTTTTTTACAAACGTTCGGAAAGTTTGCACACGAGCAGCTAGGCTACATATAAATTCTCTGCACGGTTACACACTAGCCTTCCACCACAAAATAAGGGAATTCCATTTCGTGATCGGATAACGAGGCGACTCGGGTCGGAGCGGCAGACCTGCCGGCAAACCTTGGGGCAGACCTGCCGCCCACGATCGCCGGCAGGTCTGCCCCAAAAGCCTTTTGGCAGACGTGCCGGCAGACCTGGGGCTTGGCAGACCTGCCGGCAGACCTGGGGAAGGGCAGACGTGCCGGCATGGGCTTCATTATTGAATAATTAATTTATTTATAGTTTAAGCTTGAGCTTAACTAGCTTATAAGCTAATGAAAAAGAAGTAGTTCCGTAGGTTGGGGATGTATCTTCGCAAATGTCTCTGGGCGACCTGCAATTGAATAGTTAGTTTGGTTTCTATCTGTTCGTTTGTGACTTACCCTGCATACGAGGATCTTTGCAGAATTCCCTGAGATTTCTTTTGATATTTGAGTGGTTTCAAAGTTGTGGCTCACCTGCTCTGTTCCAAAAAGCGACGTGAAGCAGCGTCCTTGGCTGGACACTGCGCTAGCCTGCCCTAACGGTCTTGGCTTAATTTACTCCATTGTAAGAATGTCAAATTTTACCTGCTCATTCGTTTTGCGTTTAGATTTTTATGAAATTACATACCTATAGGCCGCTTTGATTTAAAACTTACGCTCGTGTATTAGCGGGGGTGCAAGTAGATTGCTAAATCGCTGCCGCTTTTCTCGAACCGTCGTTGACTTGGAAAACACTAAATATTTTGTGGCACTTACTTTCTGTCCGAAACATTTTCATCAACCAATGGTTCGGATCCAATCCAGAACCATCGCCGCGGTTATACGCTGTTAGAAACTGCGTTTTGCTGTTAAGTTGCCTAAAAGCGGAAAATTTTGTAACGTTAAAAACAACCTTGGTTTATGTGAAGCCCTCGGACGTCTTGCGGGTGGACATAGCACGTTTCGAGAAACCTATACTTCACGACCTATTCGGGTAAGCATTCGGCAGCGTACTAGCACATCAGCGAAACACTTAAATAATCTAAATAAACTTACAATTACCTGTATTACCATCGGTTTCCCGCTGCGTCGCGGTTCGCCGGCCATCTTGGCTGGCATCATGTTTTATAATCACCTAGACAAACGCCATCAGCTAGCGAAGCATCTAAAGATGGGATCATTGTAAACGGCAAAAAAGTCAACGCACCTTTCATTTCTCCGATAGCATTAGGCATTAGCGCTAAACTTTGTTCTGAAATAAGTAAAATCCGGAAAATTTTCCGCCGAAAAATAAACCTCAATATATTTTCGTTTTCGCAACAAATACCTTTTCGTTTTTGCGATCCTGAAATCGTCTTCCACTAACCTCAAATCCGTAAATAGACAGAACCTGAAAGAATTACAGAGAATAAAAAGTACCTGTTGTAATAGTAAATCTAAAGTTGTAAAATAAGGTAAATGAGATGAAGATGAAGAGCAGCGCGCTTTGTTCTTGAGGCTTGCCGGCACGTTTGCCATAGGCCTGCCCACCGGCCTGCCCCATTTCCTGCCGGCAGGTCTGCCCCAGGTCTGCCGGCACGTGTGCCCCGCTTCACGTCTGCCGGCAGGGTCGCCGACCCCCGAGGCTGCCGGCACGTTCGCCCCACCCTGCCGGCAGGTTTGCCGGCCCCAAATTCTGCCGGCAGGTCTGCCGCTCCGACCCGAGGATTTTTGGAAAGAAATTTTATAAAGTTGTAAAAGCCGTTTTTTTTCTACGTTTCTTTTATCAAATTACCTTCTTTGATTTAGAATTCATCCCTCGGGATGCCTTCCTTACCACGGGTGGATCGACTTAAAACTATATATTCAGCACCTAAGGTGGGCGAAAGTTGAAGTTTTGGCAATTTCGGTTTATTTTCAGGCGCTAAACTACGGCTGGCGGTTCACAGATCATGTCAAGCAACCATCTTTTAACGGCGTCACCCGCTATATCCCTCAAGTTCATCGGATAACGTTCAGGTATGGGTTTGCGGCCATTTTTCTTTTGACGAGACCTTTGGGCTTTGTGAATACCTAATTTTGTTCCAGATTCTGCAAACAAAGTGAAGGGAGCGTGGGCGTAAGGAATTTCGTCGAAGAACGCCTGATTTCGATGGCAGAAAGGCATCCGTCTTGCGTGGTGAATTTTGATGAGGTGACTGTGATCGATACTTTAGTTGTACACCCAGCCAATAAGAAACTCGAACCCGACAATCCGCGCAGAATACGCAAATGGGCGAATTGTTCAGATGTGGGTATTTCCGTGTTTCATTATTTCGTTTCAGGGAAGCCACTGGACTGTCGATGGAGGAGATCGAGAAAGATGTTCGGCTGATTCTTTCGCGTTCCGGCTTACCGATTGTAAAATTGGAGGCAAGTTTCCTGGTGTTTTGTATGTTCTCTGAAGTAGCTAACAGTAAAGGATGGGAATTCGAGTTCGGACCAAAAGTTTTTGGTGCAGAATTTTTCGTTTAATCCGCACCCCTTTTAATAAATTGCATACTAGCAAAATTTTTAAAAGTTATTGGGTATTTTTACGTGTCTTTGGGCTAAAATTGGGAACTTTAACCCCTTGGAAAAATCCGAAGAGGAAAGCTGCAAGGTTATAAGCAAAATATAGTATGCTCTGTTAGGGTAGGAATGGCATTTACGATGCGACATTTCATAATTTTTTAATGATGACTAATAATTAAAAGAAATATTTCTCAGGGTTTTAATCCTTTTCTTTCAGGGGCGGCAATCTTCCACAGCTCCGTCGATACAAGGGCAATGGACGCCGTTCACCTGGCAGCCGGCGCGAATGGCAAACGCTCAGCTTCTCGACCCGGAATTCACAGCGCACAAGACGGTCAAGCAGTCGGCCTCGGACTTCATCCTCGAGCATCATCAGCACATGAACAAATGACGGGTTTACTTTTGCATATACTAAGAAATTTCCCAAGAGAGGGCCTTGTTTTCGTTGTGTAGTGTTAGGAAATAAAATTGATTAAGTTTCGTTATTTCACATTTGAGGGGACCCAAAATGACATTTTATCAGTTTCCGGTTTCCACAACCTGGTGTTTTTCGTTTCCCGAACTGTTTCGTATTGTTTGACGGGTTAATCCGGTCGCAAACACACAGTGGCCGGATAATTACCTCCTTTATAGCCAGCCCACCCGATGGGATTGGACTGTTGTGGTATGTTGTGCGCTATTGGGGAGACCACCGAGAGGCCAAACCCGTGTCATCCTGATGGAAACATCTATCAAACGTGTTTATTTGCATTTGGAATCGGTGCCTATCAAAGGAGCAACATTGTATTAACGGCCGAGAAACCAGAAACCTTTTCGCAGAAACATGATAAGAACAACTTGTTTTGCTTAGTTTCTTCAGAGCAATATCCTAAAGCATGCAATCGCAGTGGCCCTGGGTCCTAATGGCGAGGTGAGAGAAGGGCCATGTCCTGTGCCCAAGCCCCCATTCCGGCCATTGACAGCTCGGCCAAGGCTTTTGCCCTTATCCGCCCTCGCTACGCGATTTTCCCACATGCGCCTTTCACCCATTGCAGTGACTCGGATTGGGCCGACTGCAATTTTGTTCCCTAATTGAGCTCGTCCAGCGTTGCTCCCGTTTGCGGGCTTCTGGCATTTTTTTGGCAGAGTTCCACGCCGGGTCAACAGTTTCGTTGTTTGCGTTTGACTAGTGAAACCCTTGCCGAGTCAGTAGACGATAATACATGCTCCAGTACCAAGGATCGCCGAAAGCTGCTTGAGCGAAAAATTTAAATATTTGGAATTTCCATTTGGTACTAGTCTGCTACCGGGGCGGAGGGGGGCTATTTAGCCTCTATAGCATAAACGTTTGGGTAGTGGAGGGCATTTTGATAGTGCGTTTTGTCGTTGTTGCTGGTGAAAAGTTCTAAAGCATATTTTCATCCATTTTTACTTAAAGTAAAACTTTTTATCGAAAATTTGATTATGATTTTTTATGAACTTTCTACACTTCAATGTAGCCCTAGGCATTATGCGAAGGTTGGAAGGTTTCCACTCCCGCAAGCAGTCCAGAACCATTACGTTTTTCGAAACCAAACGTTAAAGCAGCTTGTTGATGCTAAAAGATGCCCGATAAGATGCTTGATCAATCCGCGCCATCAAGCGAAGCTCGACGATCGTCGGGTTGACACGTGCTTCACGTCTCTTGGTCCTCTTCGGGTCCCGTTGCTCTTTCCACTACTCGACGGGGTTTCGGGAAAAACGTTTTCAGGCCGAGCAAACAAATGCGCGAGAGCGGGGGACCCCCGCTAGTCCCCGCCCATCGCGCACCAAAATCGGCGTTGGCCTCTGACTTTGCGGATTTTGCTTTTAATAATTAATCAGGGCAGCTTGCAAGCCTTTCCGAACACCTCCTTCCTTTCCAGAATATGTCGTTTTAGATTTTGTATAACCAGCCACGCTTTTATAGTGCTTTAAATAACTTGAACCTTCAGCAATGCAGCTTTACACATATCGGGAGCGCTTTTTCCGGCGGAAAAATATCCCCACCGGTCAGTTAGAAACACAGCTGAAAAGGTAAGTAATCCCAACCTACATCCGATCGTCCCATAGGAATTTAACAACTTTTGACATCACGCTTCTCGGCGTCGGGCATATGATTGGAGCCGGGATTTATGTGTTGACAGGTACGTCTTGACGACGCTGACGACATAGGAATTCAGGGGCTGTCGTCAGGAATACAGCGGGCCCCTCCATCGTACTCTCATTTTTATTGGCCGGTTTTGCTTCTTTGTTGTCCGCACTTTGTTATGCAGAATTCGGGGCGAGGTAAGTATTTATCGTTATCTATCAATGTAATATTTCTAGATATCAATGTTAGTCATTATTTGTTATTTATGATTGTAGAAAAAATTCTTCTCCAGGTTCCCAAAAGCGGGTAGCGCCTACACGTACGCGTATGTGGGAATCGGCGAGCTGTGGGCGTTCATTATCGGCTGGAACATAATTTTGGAGCATATGCTGGGCGCGGCAGGTAACAATTATTAGAGCACATAAAAAAATAGCATATTTTAGCCGTCGCTCGCTCTTGGTCCGGCTATTTGGATTCCCTACTGGGCAACCGGATTCGCAACATTACAGAGGCGGAGCTGGGAGTGATAGATGTAAGCTGTTTTGCCTTCTCGGTCCCTTTAGTGGGATGCGCTGCTCCTCCTTTTGTCAAAATTTCATTCGTTTTCAGAGTACAGTATTCGGAGAATACCCGGATTTTGTTGCATTCCTGATCGTAATTATCGTTGCGGTAGGGAATCGCTATTTTTAAAAGACGATTTTGATTTCAGATTTTCATCGCGCTTGGCTCGAAGACGTCGACAATGTTCAACAACATCTTCACCGTGATTAACTTGGTGGTAAGCTGAAACGAGTAGATGAAAAATAAAATGTGAAAATAGCTATCATAAAAAAATACAAGAAATTTAGGTGGTCGTGATCGTGGTCGGGTACGGTATGTCGTTCGCCGACTTTGGATTGTGGACTGGTGAGCTTTTCTGGGGACATTAGCTACGAGTTCCAGCCATAATCCCGACAGCTAAAATACCGACAGCCAAAAACCCGACGAATTTTTGACGCTACGTTGAATTACACCCTCTTTTAAACCGAGATTTCGGAGGTCGGCACTTTGGCTGTCGGGTTTTGGCGTTTTCCTGATAATTCCAAATTTCAGGCACCACCTCGACGGGTCAATCGAAATTTTTCCCATTTGGGGTGCAGGGAATGCTATCCGGGGCCGCCTCCTGTTTCTTCGCCTACATCGGCTTTGATGGGTTGGCAACTGCTGGGGAGGAAGCAAAAAGTTTCGTGTCCACAATGACCGTTAAACGTCATTTTTGAGACCCATCACGCTCGATTCCGGTGGCCACTTTCGTTTCGATGTCCATCGTCACGCTGGCCTACGTGCTGATGTCGGCCTCGTTGACGCTGATGATCCCCTACAATGTGGTAGGTCCCGTTAAATTGAGGTCGTGAAACAGCTTTAAATTTCACTAACAACGCCATTAAGATATTTGTCATTATGTTATTAGGAAGCTAGGAACATAGCTTAAAAATATAGATACCCCCCCCCGATAACGCAAAAGCACCGGCATTTTTTAGGTCCATCCCACAGCGGCATTTGCCGATGCATTCGCCCTGAAGCACGCCACCGTCGCCCGATTCGCTGTGTCATTGGGCGCATTGTGTGGTATGACGACGAGTTTGGTTTGTTAGTTCAATAAAATGAATATTTGTCAAACAAAAAGGGCTAGAAAATCGGTGAGTCTCGTTACAGGTCGGCAGCATTTTCGCCCTGCCCAGATGTGTCTACGCGATGGCCAGCGACGGGCTGTTGTTCGCGTTCCTCGGCAAGGTCAACCAGTCAACAAAGGTATGTTCATTTTTCCTAAAACTTACCAATCACAGAAAAAAATTCCGTAACGAAACTAGGGCATTTAGCCCGTTTTTTTATTAAAAATGAATTTAAATAAATCATTTATGAAAAATGACGGTAATTCGTAAAAAGAGCACCGTCTGAATTGCATCCATTCAGATCCCAATCTACGCCGTCGCAATATTCTCCACGATGGTCGCCATCATAGCGCTGCTGTTTGACATCGAGACGTTGGTCGAATTTTTGTCCATCGGTGATTGCAGATACCGAAAACTCACCTCGATTTTTTTAGGAACCCTGCTGGCATATTCCATCGTCTCGGCTTGTGTCATCGTGCTGCGCTATCAGCCGGCACCGCTTGGTGATTCGACAAAAGATATGGATGAAGGTCAATTATGTTGTAGTGGCATCGACGGTTCTGGGCTGTTAGCGGGCGGGGGTGAGGGGGAGCTAACTAGCCCATCGATATCTGGCAATATTTTTAGCTTTTTAACGTGTAGCTTACAGCCTTTTGGTGGTTTTTTTAATATAAAACGTCATTAAATTTTAGACATTTTCGAAAACTTTGCAATTTTTGGTTGCTTTCGTCCCTTCTTGACCAAAAAGTAAAAGTATTTCTAAAGACCCACTCTTTTTATTAACTTTCTATACATAAGACTAAAATCCATCAAAAGTTATGGAAGGGTGTGTATCCTACTATATATAAAAAAATAGTGTTTGTGTGTGTGTGTATATTTGCATGCACTTCTGTTGTGGTGCTAGCTTGCTAGACCACAATAGATCCTCTTTCCCGGCTGTCCCTCCTATCCAGTGGGTAAGCCACCGGCGCGCGCCCCCTGCGGTCGCGTCGCGTGCGCCACTTCCCGCCTAAGACTAGATTGTATTATCTCGTTGCGGGTCCACTTATCGGCACAGACTAGCTCTGTTGCCGATCCTCCTGCCACCATTTATGTAGATAAACAGTTGTTCGATAACTGTACGTTTGTGCGCATTCCACTTCATTCCAAGAACACAACAACTTCCGTTAGGATGTTCCGCTCCTACAGCCTCGGGGAAGGGTTTTTTGGATAGGGAAGAAACGACAATAGGTTTAGAATGGTCCGGAATCGACTGCACACACATAAAAATTTTGAAAAATTGCGGTTTTTCGCTATTAAAAATAGGTTTTTGTAAAACCCTGTTTGTTAGGGGAAATTAGCATACGCCGGCAGTAGGAAGAGTCTATATAAAGGGACAGAGGAGCCGTTTTTCACTTTTTTTTCTTGCTAGAATTCAGGAAGAAACATGCAAATTAAGGCCTTTCACAGGTCCTGGACGGGGCCAGGGTTGAAAAGCCGCGAAGCGGTTTTTCAACCCTGGTTCCAGTCTAAAGCCCCAAAAAGGCAGGCGAAATCTCCCCGTTAACAGTCCAGTACCGCGTAGAAAAAGTTTAGAGCTTTCGAGGGAAATATCCCCAGCTTACATTCAGGCGGCCGCTTACGGCATTGGGTCCCGTTCCATGGAGCTCTCGCCGATATGCAACCTGGCAAAGCCGTAATATATGCCCTCGTGGTGATGACGATCGCCTTTTTTGGTTTTGGCCTCTGCTTGTCTACAGGAATCATGACGGTACGTGGAACCAGTCAAAAATTCCAATGTTCGCAACCCAGTCAAACCCCACACTTCAGAAAACATGGTACGGTATCTTGCTGACGGTGCTGACCGTCTTGATCTCATTGTTTTCACTCCTCTTCATTGCGGCGCACCAACAGAATAGGACAGCGTTGGCTTTCAAGGTGGATTTTAGTTTTTTTTTAGTTGGAGATTAAATCCACAAATTATTCTCAGGTCCGCTTCGTACCCGTGATCCCGGCTGTCTCGCTGTTGATCAACATCATCATGATGCTCAATTTGGCGCCAATCACCTGGGTGCGGCTGGTGATATGGATGGCGATCGGTAGGCCAGTCAAACGAGACGACAGATGACAGGGTTTTGGACTGATAGCGGAGTTTGGAACGTTTTTGATTTTCTAAATTTTTCATGACTTTGTAGTAATCAAAAACCACTAAAAACACTATAATAATACACTCTACCACGCTAAGAACTTTAGGAGCTAGGATAGCCCCCACCCCCCGCTAACAGTCCAGAACGATTACATTTAGGAATGGCGATCTATCTGCTCTATGGTATTCGGCACAGCGTCGAAGAGCGCCCTATGGGAGCGAGGTGAGATCTAGCGAACAAAAAGATGTAAATGGCCTATCAGATTCACGAAGAACACCTCTTACGCAAGCGTGGACGGCGACGATTCGCCACATGTGGCCGTCGGGACAATCGGCAAAGGGTCCCAGGTCAACGCGCAATCGGACACCCCAAAAGACCATATGAACGCTTCCTATATCAACCCAGCAATTAGTCTAGAGCGAATTGATTCGCCCTAGAACCAAGAGGAATCACCTGTTTTGTACATAAATATCTTATCCCGTTGCGTCTACATTCCCCTCGCACAATTCCAGAAATTCCCCACACATTGCCCAAAGTTGAACGTTATTGCGCTTGTATGAATGAACGAGTCTTTCCGGTATGTTGATCTAGTCAATCTCGGCTCACATGTGTTCGCCAAGATGGTTTCGGTGATAAATGGCTTTTCTTAAATTGACTGTCACGCGGAAAATGATTTTGACATCATCAACGAAAAGTTACACGTTGAAAGATGCCCAGCAGAATATCGCAGGTCAAAGTTTTAAGACAGCAATGCTATTTTTACTCTCGTTGAACAAATTTTTAAGATTTAGAACAACAACAATTGAAAATTAGAAAAACTTTATTTTTGTATTCCGGAATGTACTAATGCCAATTTCCGAAAAGCGTAGCCCCGTGGAGTCGAGTCCCGCGGCGATCTGGCTTTTTGCCCGGCAAGTTGTTCTTGACCGGTTTTTGAAAACTCGAATTTTTTCGGCAACTAGATTGGAATTCCTTATTTTTTGCAAACTTTTCATCTTCTGACACGAAAATTTCGCCCAAGCATCGTTGTTTTTCCCGGTGAATAGCTCGCATTCCCTCTTTTCCCCGGTGTACTTCTACGTTTTAGAAAGATGTCAACCGACAGAATCTGTTGCGGTCTCGTGCATTGCAAGGTGAATTTTTGTGCAAACGCCACTGTATCATTTTCTAGGTTGCGGCTTTGGCCTTCTGGGGCCTCCGCATGTTCCTGCTCGCCGTGACGGCGTGGATCTGGTCGTTCGATGATCTGGATGAAACTTACTGGGTAATAACTGGGCTGTGTTTACAAGCTGTCTTTTTAGTTTGGTCTGCTCGTATTCAGCGCGATCATCTGCGTCGTAATGGGTATCGCCGTGATTAAGGATTGTGCCAAGATGACCAAGGTCACCTACTGGCTTCAGGTAGTCATTTTCGAATTAATGCTTGTTATTCGTTGTATCACAAATTAATTTTAAATTTTTACTTAGTTGATTCTTTAGGCACTTTCCATCACGACCTTCGTGGTGATGATCATCTTCCTGTTCTGGAAGATGCCTTCGAAGGAGGTGGTGCCCAATGAAATGTTAGTGGATGTTTTGCCTTCATCTCTCGTGTTTAGGATCACGATGCGCCGCCGACATGATATGGATACCATGCTCACCCTGGCGGTGCTGATCATCGTCGGCATCTGGGAGCTGATCATCACCCGTTCCTTCTACAATCACCTGAAGTACATAAATTCTTTATCGACTCACCTTTATTTAGGCATCACAAGAAGTCTGCTGACCTCTCGGAGCCCTTCCTCCGCGAGCCCAACTACCAGTCGTACAGCTTCTACAAGAACCACGGTGACGGCAAATACCACGCCCCGATGCCCACCATCTGATGTAAAAAACTTTATTGCGTCGCTTGGCACTTATTCATTTGTTGTTCGCTTGCTTTAACACGTTATTTTCTCACGAAATAAAAGTTTGTTTGCTATTTGGCACTGCAATACGCGAGGTTCAACACTACCAAACTTATTGCAGACTCTTGGCGGCGGTTGTTAATGATTTGACGTAGCATCATTACAAATTGCGCATTACAGATGCCCTCAAAAGTGGCGCCGTCGGTAGAGCCGAAGAAGGGTACCCCTATATCGAAGACTAGAAGAGATCCCGAACCAGGAACGATTGAACAACTTGCACAAGTAGAATTCCTCGAGACTTCACAACTGGCGTTTAGCAAGAAGCGTTGATCAAGCGGTCGTCTACGTGCTATGAAAGTTCCCGGAAGCGCTGCATGTCGATTAGGTATGGGTGCTTTGCATAGATAGCGGCTTTTATTTAGGGCGCAGTTTCGAAAGAAAATGGCTGCGAAGGTGTCAAAGCAGTTCGGCCTAAACGATCTGGGCTCCAGAATACAAGAGATAATTGTGAGTTTCCGCTATCTGAATTTTCCGTTAATTTCTCCTCACTTACTTGTTTGCTTACTAACTGATCTATGGCTGGTCTTAATTTGTTTTTCTAGGGTCACGCCAGCACGCGACCTGAGGAAAAGACTGGATCCCGCGCGCTACAGCTCATCGAAAGTGCCAAGAACTACACCGAGACGATGAGTGAGGTTGGCCGTCCTTGGATGCTTCCTGATACGATAATTTAGGCCGGCGTGTCCATGGAAGAACTCATCGCCTCTTGTGAATCCTTGGACAAGGCAGCCGATATGATTGATTGGGCGGGGATGCTTGATGCAATCGACGAATTCGAGCGCAGATTCTCCAGGTTCTCCGACCTATTGGTGAGTTTTGCTGTTCCGGGATTTAAAATCGGGATGGTTGCTTTTCAGAATCGCGCCGATCAACTCTACGCCGGCCTTCCTCGAGGGGACTAATGAGGGCGGCTAACTCGTGATCTACTCCGCACCCCACCTCGAAAATTATTTAAAACCTCCCTTGCTGGCTTCTTCTTGTGTTTGATATGATGTAGTAAATCCTGTTAGTTTTACAAGGCGTCATTTCCGGTACAACCTTGATGACAGGAAGGGCCTCCATTTTCTGGAAGGACTTGGCCCGATTAGTCGCTGATTGGCGCCGCAAGAGGATTAGCAGCGTCGTTGTCGTCGCAGGATACGTTGATAAGCATACATTTAGCATCCGCTCTGATTTAAAGAGGCCGTGCGTGGGTAATGCATGCGAGTAGTAACAATTTGCCTGTTAGGGGTGACTCCCGATATCGTGGCTTTGCTCTTACTATCCTCCCGTCTTTTTCAGACTCTGGCAGGGCTCAGGCTCCTGCACAGGATGACTCGTCGGGTCTTCTGAATGCCAATGAGACACTGGCATGATAGGGGGGCGTTGCAATCCGCTTAAAAATGACTAGCCCTAGAAGAAAGAATCGCAAATAGGCGAGAATGTTTTAATCCGGCACGATAAGGAACCGCCTTGGAGGAGTGTGGTCAGCCTGCGGCTCACAATTTCCACCGCAGATACAATCAGCGTAACGTCTCATAATTTTTTTTGCAGAGCGGCCGATGGCTCGATTCGACTTGGTGAGGGTGGTTCTCGCCGGACTATCCGCCTTCCTTTTACTACTATCCATAATTTTCATTATTTTATTCGCGACAAAACAAAGTAAGGTTTTTGGTAGGCAACGAATCCGCGGCCATTTCAGCAAAAAGTTCGGGTTTTATTACATCGTTCGAGGGGACTTTCGATTCTGATTCGGCAGCTTCAGACGCTGTAGGTCTCTCGTGCCAGTTCTAGATCTTAAAAACAGGCAGCCGAATAGTCAATAAATCTTCCCCTTTCAGCTTGAAAAAGCCTTCAAGGATGCAAAATACACCGTCAGGGATATTGGAGTGCAAAGGTATAAGAAAATTTTTTTTTCTTGTTCACACGCGATGCAGGGGACCCAACGGCGTCTACAAGGGTGTTGTCGTTCTAAAGGGCTCGCAGAAGGCAAGCGACGTCCAAAAAGTGTCGGCCGATGCACTGAAGAATCTGCAAATTGGAGGTGAGAGGCGCGTTCTGTAATAAAACATCAAATAGGGACTGATTCTGTGTCGGATGTATGCCAGAAATCGGCTCCGATCACACCCACCAAGACACCAACAGTGCCAACGGTCGCTACGAAGACGAGCAAACCCCAGGACCCTACCACTGCGGTTCCGGTATCATGTAAGTATCCGGGTGTTCCAATTTATACTATTTCTGGGCGCTGGTTCGTTCGCGGATGATCCTAGGGGACAAAACCAATTTTTCCCAATAATCCTTCCAAGAAAAATAAATCTTTTCATAGAATTTTACGCTGTTTTCAGATATAAATAGCTCATGAACATCGAAAAAACGAAAATCATTTTCAAAAATCTAACTTGTTCAAACGTATCAACGTTTTTGATGTGCTTTTGAGCAATCATAAACTAGTAATGGTTTTCAAATATATGTATTGATTAATATGGGGATCGTGCTGAATAGGGTAAATTAGTGTCGCCCTGCTACCCCCCCCCCCCATTAAGGAACCAGCCCCAAAAATTCCATGATTTCTGACAAATCTGAATTTTACAGGGTGGTGCCCGGAGGTTGGTCCACGCGACTACATTTTTGTCGTCGACACGCTAGCGCCGTCAGCGTCTGCCGATGAGTTGCAAGCGAAAGTTGACGCTCTGAGGGACGCGCTCGATAACGCCTTGGAGCAAGATTCCAACCCGCAAAGCCGGTATTCCATGAAAATGATTATAGCATCTCCGGTCTAGCTTTGCGCTTATTGCCACAAACGGGGAAGATAACGAAACAACAGTGCTCTACAAATTGGCCCCTCCAGATCAAACCCTGGACACTGCCCGTACTGCGGTATATCCGTTTTCATTTTCATCTTGTGTCTTTAGTTGATCGCTCTGATCCAGTCTGCCAACGAGGCCGAGAACTACGACACGATCCGATTCAGTGAGGTTCGTCGATTTTTATAAAAATAAAGAACGGGCGAGAAACGTTTTAGGTGACCACGCAAATTGGTCAGGTAGGCAAGCTGAGTTCATCTCGACCCGTCTCCATTATCCTGATTGCTGATCATCTGTGGGTTTCTGTTTTATTAGATGACCTGAGAAGGTTTCTACATCAATAATAATCATTCTTTCCATGCTTTGTTTCCTTTTTTACGGCCTGGTTATGATTAATAAAGCGTTCATCAATTTAGCGGTGATGAGAGCCTAAAGCTCCAGTTTTCCAAGCTGCGTCAACAAGGCTACTTTGTGACTGGCGTGCTGAGTGACTTGATCTTGGACAATTACGCAGACGTGTTCAGGTGGGAAATAAAACTTTAAAGAATAGCAATGGAGCAATATTTACCAAGATTTCGGTGCTAATGCACTTGGGGGGGGGCAGTCCGAATTTTGACTACAAGATGCTCCAAATGCCGTTTCTTAAACTCGAAGCCTCTGGAAAACCTAAGCCAAGCCTAAGCCTAGGCTTAGCTTCATACAAACAAAGCCTGAGCTTAGCTTGAGCCAAGCTAAGCTTAGCTCTAAGCTGAGCCCTAAATGACCCTATTTTGACCTCCTGTGGCAATTCAAAGCTCAAGTTAAGCTTAGCTTGGGCTTAAGCTTAAGCCTAAGCTTACGGTAAGCTTGGTTAAAGCTAAGTTAAGCCTAGGCTTAAGCCGAAAACCAAGTAACTTAAGCGGAGCGTCTCGTAACCCCTTACTACCAATTTTGGACTGCCCCCCCCCAAGTGCATTAGCACCAAGATTTCTTTTAGCACTGCCCCTGTGGGCTTTGGCGAGAGCTACAAGGCCTTTAGTTCCGATCACATCAAGCAGGCCGTTTGCACAGGTTGGAACTTATCTGCTTTTGAAATACAGAGATTTAGTGAGCAGCGCCAGCGCTGCCGTTGAAGAGAAAAATGAAGTAATACCAGCTTCCGACGCGATTTTGGATGACGCAAAACTTGCTGCATGTAAGCCACGGTCGTGAAAGCTGTTTTTACATTAGCTTTTCAGCAAAACCATTCGCTTGCCTGACCCACGACATCGTGCTCGTTTTCGATGAGACCCAAAGTATCTACAACACCACCGAGGACGACTGGAAGCGTGTCGCGTAAGGTAGTGTTGTTTTCTCTATGTTTTTCTAGGTACCACATTCTTGACCAGTTCCAATGGTACGACGAGCGGAACCCTGACGAGGAGGATGTTTTCACCCGATTCTCAGGTCAGCCTTGACGATTTTCACCGAACTTTTGGCTACCACCTGGTGATCCGATGTCGAAATTAACACCATTTTTATGGCTGTTTGCACTCTTTTTTTAGTATAGAAAGTTCATACAAAATATTGTAGACGTAGAGATTTTTTGATTCTTGCTCAAAAATGAGATGAGAAAATGAAACTGAGAAAACATTTCAAAATGCGTACGTTCTAAAACCGTTTAGACTAACGATAAAAACGCACTAAAATACTTTAAAAGTGTACTATAAAACTATAATTTATTTTTGAAATTGAAAATGTTTAGTCGTGGTATTCGGTGGAATTGGCAAAGGGGGATACGGAGGAGAAGCTGTTCGCGATGACCCGGACAAGCCCGAAGACTATACCACCGAGGTGAGGCTCTGCTTTCCCGAGCCTTAGTAATATGTTTAGATCCTCTTCGGCCTCGATAAGTACACGACTGCTGCGGGAGCTAAGGCACAAATCGCCGCGAATGTTTATGTCTACAACGGACTTACCAATATCACTTCGTGAGTTTCAAAAGGAAGGAAGATAGAGCTAAAATTTTGTGCTTTTTGTCAAACTTTTTCTTTTTTTTAGAACTTAAAAAATACTTTTCAGGGCTCTTCGAGCAGTTCAGAAGGTCTTTGACGATGCCGAACCGTACGCGGCACTCAATCGGACATCGAAGAGGGTCGTCATCACAATGACTGACGGCTAGTAGGTTTAAGAAATCTTAGATTATTAAGAACAACAATTAGAATAGTAATAATCAAGAGTAAAACGCGTTTAGCTTGACCGCCGACGATCAGAAGATTACGAAAGCCCAGGCTAAGGTACTCCGCGATGCTCCCTATCAGGCCGATATGTGGTAAGTAGGACTAAACAAAACGCGAATTCCTTAGGTTTGTACTTGCCGAGAACAACACCCACAACAGCAACTTCCCGGACGCATACAAATTCGCTGTCGAGATGGCCGATAGTAAGCTAATTTTTCTTTAATGAGACATATTAATAACGTCCACGAACTTTTCAAGGTTTTTAAAAATATTAATCAATTTTTATACCGAGACTTTTAAAATATTTCAGACAAACCGCAGCGCGTGTTCAACACTTCGAAGCAAGCGCTCGCAGATAGCGATATTGGCTTCGACAACAACTACCATACCCAGTATCCCTGCCCGCCGAAGCGTAAGCAAGGTAGCATCACGTAGTTCAACGTTTTTAGGCTGCAAGGTCGTCTACTTTGCCTGCGAGAACACCGAGGTGTTGGACCCGATGTTTAATCAGCAATCCAACATGCTGGTGAGTATTTGAAAATCAGGCAGAAAGTTTTTTAGTGTGTCCAAGAAACGCTGCTAATGGCCGAGTACATCAACCAGCAGATTGCCAACGTCACCTATCGATTCTTGTTGTATTCGTCGAAGGAATTGACGACGTGAGCGTATACGACGAGGAAAATACCGGGATTTTAGTCTATACCCACCGCAAGGCGAAGACGATTCGTACGACAATTTCAAGAAGCAGGTATCGACCCTCCTCGACCCGGCAGCACTCGACGCCAAGCACGCCGGTTTCACATATTTGGCAAAGTTCGTATTTTTCCGGTTTTGACGTTGAGATCAACGAAATACATAAACTGCCAACGAATGAGTATTTCAGCGCGTTGAACGTCATCGCCACGTCGTTCAGGCAATACGAGAAGAAGAACCCGCTCGTTGACGGTGCGCTGATTATTGCCGGCCAATATCAGTAAGTTTGCTACACCTGGAGCTTACATTTTTGTCTAGGAAGGGCAAGATTGAAGACTGGACGTTGGTGAAGGGAGCTGTGGCCAATGTGAGTCTTCAGAAAAATTCAGAAGAGTTTTAGGTTCTGCACTATTAGCGTGGTGGGGGGGGGCTTTGCCTAGCTAACAAAAAGCTTCACCCCCGATAACAAACAAGATCCAATAATTTCCTTTCAGCTGCACACGCGTTTCACGAACGTGTTCGTCCTCGATCGATCCGACGACTATCACCGCGAGCCCTACAACAACACAGATTTTGGCTGGGGTGTCGTCACGGATCAGACCCAGGTTTTTAATTGTTTTCCGAAAATTACTTTTTGAAAATCATAGTCGAAAAGACATCTTTCGAAAAGCACTGTTTTCACCTCAGAATTTCGGAAATGTTCCCTTCCGCTACCAATATGCAATGACCGGAAAGGGTGCGAACTAGCAATGCGATTTTTCCAAAATGTCTTTTCGAAAATCTAACTTTTGAAAGAAAATGATGATTTGCGAAAAAGGCCCTTTCTAAAAAGTGATTTTCCAAAAATTGATCGCCCTCCAGTTTTCATTTTTCCATTCCCAACCACACCCAATTAAACCCCATAGTTCCGTCAGACTCATCGATAATCTGGACGCTATCACCCCCTTTTTCCAGATCGACGTTTTCAACGGTAACGCGACGCTGGATGAGCAAGCACTTGAGAAAATTGGAGCCATCAAGGCGGTAAGTCCGGAGACGGATTATGCGTAAGCCTGATTAATGACCGGTTCGGCGCCGCAAAAATTGGCGGGCGTAAACCGCTCAGCGAGCTTTGCGTATATCAGCACAACGAAAGGAGCAGGGGCCTGGAAAAATTGAAATGAACCTAAAAATCGAGCAAAAGCGGGTCCTGTAGAAAACGTGACAGTCAGTTTCACAGAATGTAATCTACGTAATTTTTTTCATAGACTTTAACTATATTCCATGTAGAAAACTATAAAAAATTGACATGCGCAATTTTGGCCAAAAGTGGTTTTTTAGTGCATTTTTTGAAGAAAAATATGTTAAGTAAGTTTTTGCGCGTAGTAATTTGAAAACACTTCTTCTATTTCCCCCGTTAGCGCCCCACCCGAACAAGAACCTAGAAACCTCGCATTTTAAGGCTCTAAAGCCCAAAAATAAATTCAGATTAACAAACTCGACTGTGGTCTCCCGCCTGATGTCTACTGCAATAAAATGATGGATGTGCAGTTTGCATTCCACTTTGCTGATCATGGAGATGCGGATCTTCTCGCTGACGTAGAAATCCCTGGAAATCAAAAAATCTGATTCATTTTAGCAAAAGCTGGTCGCCGAGCGGCTGGTCAGCCAGTTCAGGGCCCCGTATCCGGTTCATCTGGGCGCGTACTTCCTGAGAACCGACATTGTTTGTGTCGGAATAACGGCTTTATCGTTGCGTTTAGGAAGACGTCGAGCTCAGCCTGTCCACCCCCTCAGATATCCGTAATTTGATCGGAAATGATTCTACATTGACGGCGGCCGATGATTTGAACATTTGGAAGTGAGTCTTGGGTTTTCTGGTGCTAGGCGGTTAGCGGGGGAGCTACGGGCGAGAGCGAGAGTGAGGGCGAGAGAGCGAGAGAGAAAGAGGAGGAGAGCAAGGGAGAGCGTTGGAGGGAGGTTTAAAAATAAAATAAACACCATCTACGTCTTTTTTATGCAGTCTTTTTTAGTATAAAAGGCTCATGAAACTTAGTAAGATTCTCGAAAACTTTGATTTTTAGCCAAAAATGCATGAAAACGGGCCAAAATTTCAAACTTGAGATTAGACTGTCCCCCCCGCTAATAGTCCATAACCCAAAGCTCTCCTGAACTATTCCGAATTTTTCTACTCTTTTGAGAGCTTTAGTAATCGAAACAATCAAAATAATAAACAAAAAAACGATGAAGGTATGCTATAGGACGCTACGTTTTTAATTTTATTACATACACTTTTGAGCGATGTGCTAAAGGAGCGCTTCTTGGCCAATGCCGGTTGCGGGCACACTTCCGGCCAGGGTGACCGTCCGAACGTCGACAATGTACTGGTCATCGTGTCGAATGATTGGACGTTAGTTGTGAATGCGAAAAACACAAGTTAAACAATTCCAGGAAATGGCAGCAAAATACATACACCGACGTCACGCAACAGCTTTCCGGGTGGACGTGCCAGGACTGCGCAAACTACCCCAAGTTCCTGTTTGTCGACTTGAACCCCGGGAATACGACGCATCCTGATGGAATTACGGTGTTTTTCACGTTTTTTTTGTAATTTTAGCTATTTCAGAAAGATGGCCCCAACTCGAATCTGTTCCAAATCTCGAACTACAACTTTGACCTGCGGGAGCCGCACTCGCAGATCAACGTCGCCGTCACGAATATTTGTGTGCCGTTCAAGAGATGTAAGTTGGAAAGGGTTTTAGCTAAGTTAATCCTACCTTATATAATTTGGTCGCGTATCTTTGTCTGTGTGTGTGTGTGCGGAGTTCAGTTTCGAGGCCCGATTTGAGGGCCTTCCCGTATCCAAAATGCCCTAATTCTCCGTCACTTGGGGGAATCGACCCTCATCTTTTCGATGGCGTTCTCAGAATTTCGATAAAATACAAGTTTACAAAGTTAAAGCCGGTTTTATTCATTTTTGGGGGTCCCTGAGGGCTAATTTGCATAATGCGAGAAAATACAAATTTCCTCATTCTTGCCAGTTGCACTCGCGCGTGTGGTCGGCCGGGGGGAGGGGGTCCGAAGGACCCGAGCTATCGGAAAGTCAAATTTCTTAAAGACTACCAGAACGATGGAACGCGCACTGTCACCCCGAGGGTGCTGCCCCCAAGAACGCGCAGAGAGATGCGTCATTAGTGGTGCCCCGTACTGGGCAAAGGCCCTCTGGGGTTTGGGGCGTCTCTGACTCCCTTCCCCACTTGGCCCTGTGGTGTAGTGGCTAGCGCGTCGGACTGTGGAGCGAGCCATCGCGGGTTCGACTCCCGCCCGGTGCGCAACTTTCTTGCTCTCAACGGAATTTCATCGTTCTGACGGTCTTTAAGCAAAGGCCGAATTCCAGCGCCCAAGGTCCGCAAAGCGGGTTTTGGGCGCTGGTAGCTAATCAATTAATTTTTCATTTAATAGCTATTTTTTTCAGTCTGCTGCACCGATTTCCCGTGCAACCCGTTCGTCGGCGGCACATGCCAGAAGCGAACATTCTCCGCCCTCATCAGCAGTTATTAAAGTGTTTTCGTTTGCAGCGTTGAGAAGAGAGATTCGAGTGGCTTCTCCCTATATCCCACCTATATTCCGTGTTGTGTATGCCGTTAACGTTGTTATGCTTTAATTCCACATTGGGTACATTTTGATAAATTTTTACGTTCACTGGAAATTTTTAACCTATCTTAATTTAACGAACGAATACAAACTGAGGCTTAGGACGGATAATTTTAAGACAATCCATTTTTTGAAAGACAACTAATCCTAAGTCGAAGCAGTAAGCCGCAGCCTACGCCTAAGCCTAATAACAGTAAGCCCAAACCTAAGCCTAAGCCGAAGCTTAAGCCTAAAGCCTAAGCCTAAGCCGGCCTGATGAGATTTCGACAGCCTGAATTCCGACCATCTTATTTTCGACAAAATTAGAATTAGCCGTATTAACTACCCTAAAACCTCGTGTATAGGTCCGGTACAATTTGGTTCCGTAACAAGACAAATGACACCAAATAATGTGCGTAGGGTACAATTCGGCGCAAAAGCTATGTAAGCCAAAATAGCCGGTTCTCAGGGCCTCATGCAGCAATTTCTTTCATTAAACCACTCAAATTGTTGGAAATAGTCGAAATACGAACAAATATTCCATCAAAATTGCAAAAATACCATTCGTGAGCGGCGTTATTTGCAAGAAACCGAAAAAACGAAACCTACCTAATGACGGTCATACGGAATTCCGGACGCTCCGTACACATGAAAATTTTCACCCGGAACTATACACGGGGAGGACCTATACACGAGGTTTTAGGGTAACAATATTGCAACAGAATAGATAGTATTGTGTTCTTGGTATGAAGTGGAATGCGCTTCGGACAACAGTATCAAACAACTGTTTATCTACATAAAGTGGTGGCAGGAGGATCGGCAACAGACATCTCTGTGCCGATAAGTGGACCCGCAACGAGATAATACAATCTAGTCTTAGGCGGGAAGTGGCGCACGCGACGCGACCGCAGGGGGCGCGCGCCGGTGGCTTACCCACTGGATAGGAGGGACAGCCGGGAAAGAGGATCTATTGTGGTCTAGCAAGCTAGCACCACAACACCTCCCCTTGTACAACAACAAAGTACAAGTTCCTAGGAGAAATTGGGACAGGAGAGACCAATAAGGCTTAGCCGGATTTACAGTATATGGAAATACACACCAAAAAATAAGATGACACTTATTTTTGCTTATTTTCTTCTTACGACGCACACGAACCCGACGTGGCAATCTTCCTTCCCTCAACCTTGAACACGCGCACGAACACGACGTGGCCATCATCCTTCTTTCCTTCTTCGGCTTCACTTGTAGACGCGGCCTTGGGCTTGACACGCGCACCTCCTTCGGTCCATGGCAGCGGCAGCGGCCCTTCATTCATCAATGATCCGCCAGCATCAGCACGCTCCTTCGGTCCATGGCAGCGCCAGCGGCCCTTCATCCATCGATGATCCGCCAGCTTCAGCACGCTCCTTCGGTCCTTTCGTGGGTGAGGACTAACCAACTTCTTTCTTCTTCTGCAACCTTCGCGGCTTCTGGGCGGTCCTTGGGGCAAAACGGCGGCCGGACGCCGGGCACTTCTTTTGCGCTTGCACCCTCCTCCTTCATCGACAACGGCAGCGCGCCCTCCACCCGAAAATGTGGGGCAAAAAGGGGAACAAAACACCTCCCTTTCAACTGATCCTGCACGAGCGGCCACCGGCACATCATCCATCGATGGCCATCATCTGCACGCTCTGCTTCTTGATCTTCTCGCCATGCCTTCTTCCTTGTCGCTCGCCAACCATGTAGATGTCCCTGACCTCGACCTTGTCGCTCTCATTGACCTTGTCGCTTTCTTGGTCCTTGTCTCGTCGGCTTGACTTGACTTCTTGCGCTTCTTCACCTTCTTCCTTCATCCTTGATCACGTTCCTCGGGCACGAGTGGCTTCTTGGCTTGGAATTCCTTGTTCTTGCGTGAGTCCTTGATGATCCTGCTCGCCAGTGTTGTGTTCTTGGAATGAAGTGGAATGATGTAGAATGCGCTTGGACGTACAGTTATCGAACAACTGTTTATCTACATAAATGGTGGCAGGAGGATCGGCAACAGAGCTAGTCTGTGCCGATAAGTGGACCCGCAACGAGATAATACAATCTAGTCTTAGGCGGGAAGTGGCGCACGCGACGCGACCGCAGGGGGCGCGCCGGTGGCTTACCCACTGGATAGGAGGGACAGCCGGGAAAGAGGATCTATTGTGGTCTAGCAAGCTAGCACCACAACACATTACCTCCATAAAATGCTTTAAACACGGCCCCGATCTGAGATTCAGTAGCCAGGGGTCAGCAGGCGAGTGATTGGCGGTCGAGGGGCACGTTGACCCATTTCCCCCTCTTTGTACACAGGCTCGGAGCATCGTTGATCCCCCTCCATGCTGGCCGTCAATTGTTGTGTCGCGTAGTGAGACTGATCTCCCCATCTCTCCGCCCTCCTCCGGACCTCCCTCCCTTCCCCGGGTCGTAAACGATTTCTCCCAGATCGTCGGGCATTGCTGAGGCTCAGTTTCCGGAGCAACAGATGTTTTGGTATATTCTGCCATTTCTAAGGTACTCTTAAGTTTTTCGGAACCTAAAAACAGCAAGTTCTGTGACTTTGTTGCCGCTTTACAGGCGTTTGGAAATTCCGTTGCGCTCCTAACACCGGACCGTATTAGCCGCCGCCCATTTGCGGAGCTATTCGATTATACCCCGATCCCATTCTCCCCGCCAAACGCCATCGCAGCACACACCAAATGCCATTCCCATCGACCTGTGTCGTAGAGACCCCCGACTGATGGGGACATTTTAGTAGTATCCGCACGCGAACCAGAAAGTTGAGAATATCCATTTCATGTTATCGAGATCTGTCCTTATAAAGGTATATAAGGCAGATGTGCAGAGCAGTAATTTTGCTAGAATCCTAAGCCTAAGCCCAACCTGAGCCTAAGCCTAAGCCCTAAGCCTAAGCATATGTCAGGACGTATGCATCTACGGAAAACACCTTGAAACAACCAGTTAGACGGCCCTGACACGCAATGTGACCGAACGACCCTTTGTGGCAACTGGATGGTTCGGAAATGGGGGAATCGAATTTTTGGCGTGTTTGAATTTCGTATCGCAGCCTAGTCTTCCCACCTTGAGGGTGCCTTTAAAGTTTTTAGAATCCGGTAGAGCGTTATGGACACCCTTACGAAACGTTTTGACGGCAAAACTTTATTTTCTTCTGAAATAGCGCTTTTCGATGGTTTTTCGGCTTTTTTGAGCTGGTGCTCCTTCACCCTAGAAAGGTATCTGTACTAGCCAAACGGTCACGCCAAATTGGGGCCAATCTTGCTCCGGGCCCCATATTTACATAAGGGTCAAAAAGGCGGGTGGCAGCTGGCCGGACCCTAAAAACGCTTCTCTATCACCAGCCGCTTACAGCGGCTTCGCCGCTGCAAGCGGCTGGACTTCGGGCTACCCCCTTGCGCTCCCTCCTCATCGCCGAAACGCGCGCGACCTGGCTCACTATCTCCAAAATCACCCCAACCTCCGTCCCCCACCCCTTTTACTAAGGAAATAACTTTCAAAGTTAATTTTAGTAATTTAAACTAAAACTTTTTGGTAATTTTTTTATCAGTTTGGGGGTTTCTGACCACGCTCTATCCGAATCCGAAGAGAGCTAAGCTCTAGCTCCTTTCCCCTTCGAGTTGAATCCGGGACACGACGGACAGACAGACAGACAGACGGACGCCTCTACTTTTTTATTATAGTTGATCACTATCAGTCCCTATTTTTGGCCCGTATACACGCAATATCATTCTCTGGCCATGTGCCTGGGTGCTATATAGTGTTGTGGGCAACATACAGAGAGACAGACAGACAGCAGGGTGTTCGCGTATCGATTGGACAATTTTTGCGGCAATCGCTCGCCCGCTCTCCCCTCGGCCGCGCCTTTTGAAAGCGCCGCTTTTGTCCCCGGCCGTTTTTACAACCAGCAGCCGCATCTTGGCGATTTTGGCGTATGGGCAAGAGTTTCAGACAGATTCCCCGACTTTGTACGATATTTTGCACTCGAATTTGTACGACTTTAGGAGCTTTAGAGCCATTCGATTACGACATGTTTATCCCGGACGCTCATGGCATTTATTGAAAACTTTTTACTACTTTTTTTACTACATTTAAACTCGATTGTTTTGCAAGATTTGACACACTTTTAGCAATTCCATTACGGGAATTGTAATTTTATAGCTTAGAATTATGCTTTGTTAGCGGTGCTAAGCTGTTTCTCCTGATTTCGGGTCTTTAAAATTTTGCTGCTTTTCCTCCTTCAGGATTGGATTATTATAAAAATTTAAAGGTCTCAGCGTTTGTTTTCCTGCTCTTTTCCGGAAATTCCGGACGTTCACACGGAAATCGGATAGATTGTCAAAAATATATTCTCGGATTTTTGGGTTTTTGGAGGCATAGACATAGGCAGAAGCCTTAGGTCTCCCTCTCTCCCTCTCTCTCTCTCTCTCTCTCTCTCTCTCTCTCTCTCTCTCTCTCTCTCTCTCTCTCTCTCTCTCTCTCTCTCTCTCTCTCTCTCTCTCTCTCTCTCTCTCTCTCTCTCTCTCTGGTCTCTCTCTCTCCAGCTTCTTCATTGAAATTTCGAGATTCAGAAAATCCGATATTCTGATTTTCGAGCCATTTAGCATAACCCCCTTTAAAATTGACGAATTGACGAGTGTTTTCGTTGTCGTCCATCCCCCTTTCCTCGTCCTCCTTGACCCTCTTGGAGGAGGCTGAGAGTTAAGCCTCGAATCTGGGGTGGTGGTGGGGGGTTGAGGGGTAAACCCCTGGGGTCGAAGGGTTGAATCCCCCGCCATTCCTCTACACAGCCACTAAGCGCCCAATTCCCCATATGGGCGGCCGGCCTTTCCCATACCTCTGATCCCCACGGCTCAACCTCTACCTCCCACCCCGCGGAAATGCCAATTGCCCTGCACTGAATATTG